GACCTGCCCCCCAGCCCTCGTGCTGCCCTGGGGCACATGTCTGACTGCGTTTATTACTACTACCCTCATCTGTAACAGTGAATCTGAGGGTGGGCCTGCCCCACCAGACTGCACTCCCTGACCTAGGAGGTCCAATACAGACAGGTGTGACCAACAAGTAAATGAGCAACTGAGTAGCCAGAGCAGAGCAAGGCAGCTTCACTCAACTGATCCCCCAGCTCTAGACTCATTCCAGACATTTGGCATGTAGCGGTGGGTTGACCAAAGAAAACCCAACACACGTGGCCTGGCTCCAAATACGCCCATCCCCCACTTCTTCACTCAAAGGATGTCTGCCTCCTGGTTCCTCTCATCTTTCTCTTCCCCCTCAAGACCCCTTGAGGGCCTCTCTTTCTGTAAGTGCATCCCTCTCCCTGTGATATTTTTACTCTCCCCTCAGTCCCAAGAGAGTTCCTTGAGGACAGAAACTATTTTATCAATCTCATGTCCTTAGCCTCTCCATGGCCACAGCTGATAAAGGTTGGTTGAATGGTGTGTGTGATGAATGGGGTGCTCTCACAGCTCCCTCACCTGACAGACCCTTGAAGGTGAGATCCCTTCTCAAATTCCCAGCCATTCATGGCCATTAAGGGCCAGCTCTGTGCCAGGCACCGAGCCAGGTGCTTCTACACACATCCTTCCTCACTCTCTGCCTCCCCTCCCACCTCGCCCCAAGATGGGAGCGTTTTTTCCTGTCAGGTTGCCGGCCTCCTCCTCAACTTCTGCTGCCCTCTACCTGTGAGGTGATGTGTTTATGAACATCCAGTCCTGCTGCTCACCCTCAGTAGTAGCATGGTCCCAGGTGCTGAGCATGTAGAGACTCTGCCTCACTCAATCCTAACAGCTCTGAGATGGGCACATAATTACCTAAAGAGATCAAGGTCCTGAGAATTTTGGTGATGAGTCCCAAATCATACCTCTAAGTGGCAGAGCTGAGATTCATACCACTTATGTTCAAATCATGAGCCTATCCCACATGTAACCACCAGACCAGACCATCCGGACAGCTCAAGTGCTCTCAATCCGCAGATCAAACGCCAGATGCCAGGACATCTGTTTGTTAGAAGGGAGGGGGAGCGAGTGGACCTTTCTCCTTCAACATGTTCATCTCAGAGTTCACTCTCTCAGGAATGTGACTCCCGTCCATCTAGCTGCACAGGCCAGAAACCTGGAAGTCATCTTGTCTATCTCCCCAAACATATCCAATACCAGTTCTGTCCACTTTGTCTCTAAATATCTCTTGGCTCCACTGGACTCTCACATCCCCCACTCCCACTCCCTGGGATCTGTCCACCATCATTCTCTTCCCACAATGGTTTCTTCTTCAGTCTTGCCTCCTCACACAGCACAGGTCTCAACCTATCGCTAGTACATAAATTTGGCCATATCATTCTCTTGCTTAAAATCCTTCAGTGGCTTCAGAATAATTCTGTCCTCAGGATAACTTCCAAATTCTTTTTCTTTCCTTGAAGGCACTAGGTTCTCTCTAGTCCCTAAGTCTTCACACGTGCTGTTTCTCTCCCCAACACCACCCTCTTGTCCTCATCTCTACCAGCCTCATCCAGCTAGCGACCTTCTTCGCGCGGCCCCTCTCTCGCATGGGTTAGTTACACTGATGGGCGCTTCCACGTACGTTTCACATTTTAACAATTGACACACTACTCACTAAAGAGTATCACCATTAACTTATCTATCCTTTTATTAATTGAGCAAATATGCACTAGTTGTTAACTATATGCACACATACATACACGACAGAGACTTGGACCTTACCCTGGAGAACAGAAACCGTCTCTCCGTAGGCGTCCAGACGTCTAACAGCAGTTGCCTCACCTCCGTCCAACGAAGCAGCGAACTTACCTGCGAGAGTCGACTGTACCGCGCGGACTTCTGGGAATCGTAGTCCCCGATTCTGGCCTCCCATTATGGCGCAGGCGAATTCTGAGTCAGGCGCTTCTGCTCTTAATGCGCATGTCCCGGGAGGCGGAGTGGTACAACTGCGCATGTCCAAAGCGTTGGGGGGGTTGAGGTGCCGGCAGAAGGCGGTGCGGTGCGAAGGCAGGGCTTCGGTGACACCCGGCGGTCGCTGAGGATCTCGGCTTGTCTGTGAGGATGGCGGGGAGGGGGAAGCTAATTGCCGTGATCGGAGACGAGGACACTGTGACTGGCTTCCTGCTGGGCGGCATAGGGGAGCTTAACAAGAACCGCCACCCTAATTTCCTGGTGGTGGAGAAGGATACTACCATCAATGAGATCGAAGACACTTTCCGGTAAGGTAGACCGCGAGGCCTGGACGGGACCCTCTGCTGCCTGGTGGGAGCGCGGGGAGGGAGAAGGCTGGGGGCGGGGGTCGGCATTGGGCTTCCAAACTCTGGCTGAAGTGTCAGACTCCGTCCTCGAGGGTCGGTGGCGGGGGGTCGGTCCACCGACTGAGAGGAGGCCATTGCGGCCCAAGTTCCCTTTTGGGGCTCGGTGGGACCAGGGCTAGATCGGGGCCACAAAGGCCCCTCTCACATGACCGTGTGTCAGGAAAGAAGGGGAACAGCTCATGACCGCCGGGCACCGCCCTTTGGTCCAACCTGGCCGGCCAGAGCTGAGTTTCCAGAGTGCCCAGGCCTGGAGACGGCCACTCTCAGCTCCCGGTTCACCGGTAGAGCAGGACCCATTCATTGCAAGCGCTCGACTCTTGTGAGTTGTGACCCCTAAAGGAACCACTCAGTGAACACCTGGGCAGTGGGCTCGGGCTTTCATGTGTTTTCATCTCCCTTAGAAGCTCACAGTCGTCATGTAAGATAGGGGTTATTCCCATTTACGGGTAAGAAAACTAAAGTTCGGAGAGGTTAAAGGCACACACTAAAGTCCTACAATTTGGAAAAAGATAGAGGAAAGATTTGAACCCAGTCTCACCTTTTCTGCCTTTCTTAAGCCAGGGCCACACTCTGCTCCTTCAGCTCTCGGTCTGCTTTGGAATTTCCCATTGTCCTGAGCTCAGCGGACAGAATATCAGGACTATCCTACCTTCTACTGATACCTTGCACTTCAGATCTTCATTTCCTGTCCTGGGTTAAAAGCAGGAGCTTCAAGCTGTGGGTTCAGCCATGTCTTTTAATCCAGGAGGTGACTTGGTGACTACAGTTGAGAGCGCCAGCCACCTGTCCTTTCCCACGCCCCTTCTCTGGAGTCCCTATGCCAAGTGCTAAGAACAAACCTCTCCCGCCTGTTTTCCCCTAAACAGCCTAGCCCTGAGCTGCCGGCTAAGACTGGTTCCTATTGCCTGGGGTATGATTGGCCCTGACCCAGGAGGCTGATCTCTAAGCAGTCTGGTAAAGTGACTCAAGTTGTCTTGAGAGAAGGACAAATTTTACTTCAAGATCTTTTCAAGTTTCCAACCAAAAGGGACCTCTGAAATCATCAAATCTAACCTCCCTTAGTGTCTGGTAAAGAGTAGCTACTCTGTAAATAGTTTTTATTTTTTAATAGTAAATAGTTTTTAATGAGTAAATAAATTAATGAATATGTGGGTGATCACAAGAAAGTAAGAGCCCAATGCCAGGTTCTTTCTGTGTGGAAAGTATGATTCCTTCATTACTGATTTTCCTCTTCCTATGCTGTGTTCCTGGCTCAGGCCAAACTTCCCCTCTGATCCACCCCCTGCCCTCATCAGCATAGACCATGAGTGGTCTGAACAGCACCGTCCCCCCTTAAAAATTTTTATGGGGACTTCCCTCGCAGTCCAGTGGTTAAGACTCTATGCTTCCACAGTAGGGGGCATGGATTTCCATCCCTGGTTGGAATACTAAGATCCCACGTGCCACGTGGTGTGGTCTTGTGTGTGTGTGTGTGTGTGTTTAGAAATTTAACCTGTTTCCTTTTGAAAAGTTAACATGTTCATTTGGTTTACAAATTAATATTTGTAAATTGTAAATTTATTTGTAAATTGTAAATTAATATTTGTAAATTCTCAAATACACATTGAGAAGTCACAGTCTCAACTGCTGACCTCTTCTACTTCATTACTTCCTTCCTTCATCATGTATTTTTTTCTTTATCTTTCTGCTTTTTTCTTTATGCAGATACAAAGAGACTGGCACATATAGTCTTGTCCTCTCCCATTCTTACCTGAAGGCAGCATAAGGAATGCACCAGCACGTACCCTCATCTTCATTAGCAGATCATTTGGGAGTCTTCCAGGTGGTTGGGGTGGGGTAGAAGCCATGCCTTTAGCTTTTGAATGAAATTGACTCTAAACAGAGTGGAGAGTTTAGTGTAGCACCCTTTTCTCTTGTCCACTGTGCTCTCTGGATTAAGCCCATTCCATCTGTGGCCCAGTCCACCAACTCAGAGTGGGCCTCCCTGGACTCCCTTCTCATCTCTCCTTCCAGGCAGTTTCTAAATCGGGATGACATTGGCATCATCCTTATCAACCAGTACATCGCAGAGATGGTGCGGCACGCCCTTGACGCCCACCAGCGCTCCATTCCGGCCGTACTGGAGATCCCGTCCAAGGAGCACCCGTATGATGCTGCCAAGGACTCCATCCTGCGCAGGGCCAGGGGCATGTTCACGGCCGAAGACCTGCGCTAGAGGACTCCCCTCCGCCTTGCGGCCTCTCCCCAGGCTTGCCATCAGCCCTTCTTTAAGATCTTAGCCTCTGAGTTCCAATTCCCTGCCCCTTCCCTTTCCACTGAGAGGCATCAGAGGTGGGGTGCTTCCAAGGTTGCTGGGGCTCTGCCATTAAAATTAAGGCTGGTTGGGGTACAGGAAACCTGAGTGTCTTCTCTCCACTACCTCTTCCCTGTGCTGTTACACAGTGTCATTGTTGATGTTAAATTAAAATAATGTTCTTGCTTCTCTCTAATCTGAGGCTGGGTGCTAGGAAGGACATGTGGAAGGAGGCTCTTGTGGGGGTGATTTGATTGGCAGGGCTGGAAAAGGCTTTGCCAAAGACCCAGGCCTAGAAGAGTTGGACTGAGAAGATTGTGCCAGCCTGGTCTTCTGAATTAAATGTAACCAGCTCTGGCAGGGAGGAATGGAAGCAGGCTTGTGTCCAGACCCCTGATGCCCCTGCTTGAGTCTCTATTGGCTGGGAGGGGTCGGGACCTCAAGGGATGGAAGCAGGAACCACAGCAAACCTGGAAGCCAGAGATACTTAGCTTGAGTCTGGCAAGAGGTTTGGGGGTCAAGGCTCTTAGCCAGTGGGCCCTGGCCTGAGGCTGCCTCAGCAAGCAAGGCAGGTGAAGTATGCTGAGGGCATGGCCCTGTGTGAGGTGAGGCACGGTTGCCGAGTGACTGTCCCTGGGCAGCCACCTGCTGTCAGAGGGACTCTGCCTGCTGTGCTCACCCCTTGGCGGCAGGCACCCCGCTCCTGCTCTTTCCTGTGCCTCCATGTCTCGGCAACTCAGCATGGACACGGTGCGGCAGAACTTCTGGAAGGAGGAATACCTGAGGGAGAAGATGTTGCGCTGCGAGTGGCACCACAAGTACGGGTCCCTGGTGAAGGCCAAGCAGAAGGCCAAGGCTGCAGCCCGCCTGCCCCTCAAGCTGCCAACCCTGCCCCCCAAAGCCCCACTGTCACCCCCACCCGCCCCCAAAGCAGTTCCTTCCAGGGCCTCCAGCCCCTCCTTGGAGGCTCCTATTCAGTCAGAGATGTACCCAGTCCCACCTGCCACCCGGGCCCTGCTGTACGAAGGCATCTCCCATGACTTCCAGGGCCGCTACCGCTACCTCAGCACCCGAAAACTGGACATGCCAGAGAAACGCTACCTCTTTCCCATCACCACCAACTTCACATATGGCTGGCAGCTGGGTGAGCCCCAACCTCCCGGAAATTATCCACCTCACAGACACAGAGAACTTGCCACGAGCCAGGCAGTGCTCTTGGCACTAGACACACAAGACACATGGACACTCCTTTTGGGGGCATCCATCCTAGTAGAGAAACGTAAGAACAAGAGAAGGCCAAGTTCCAGAATGAAATGGCCTGATGGGTGAGGAGGCAGGGGCGTGCGCAGCTTTAGGATGGATTGTCAGGAAAGGCCTCTCTGAGGACCTAAAGGCCGAGTGAGCTAACTGACAAGGGAGAGGAGTTTGGGTTTTATTCTAAGTTTAAGGGGAAGCCACAGTGAGCTTTAAACAGGTGAATGAAACTGATTTACTTAAAAAAAATCACCCTGACTATTCTGTAGGTAGTGGCCTTTTCAGGGGTAAGAACAAACTCTGACAGATGGTTGAGTTATCCTGGCAAGAAAGACGGTGGCTTGGGCTTGAGTGATTAGCAGTTGAGCTGAAATCTATTCCGGATGTGTTTTGAAGGAAGACACAATGGAACTTACTGGTGGTTTGAATGACCGAAGGAGAGAACACAATGGCAACACGCAGGTGTTTGAAGCAGCTCCAGCAGGGGAGACTGGGGGTAGGGAGGGTGCTGGGGGGTGTGAAGGTCAGCGTTGGCCGCGTTTTTGCTGGAGGTGTCAGTGATTTGGCCCTCTGGAGCGAGGTCCGAGCTGAAGACACATTTTTGGGAGTCATCAGAATATAGGTGCTCTTTAAAGCCTTGAGAGTGGGTGGGCTCACCCAGGTTGCTCCAGAGGCTGGATCACGCAGGGAGAAGGTGCAGGGGTGGGGGGACACAGTGATATGTAGGGACATGGAATTGGCAAGAAGGCTGTCCATCTAGATTGACTCGTGGTCGTCAACTGGGTAGGAGAGGAGCGAAGGCAATGGTGTAGTTTGAGCTTAAGAGTCAAGGTGTGGACAGAAAATGCCAGGGAGTGTCATGGGTTTGCTGCCTGAAGGAGAGTTCCTTTGCTGTCTGTGGTCATGAATTTCAGGTGAGACTAGTTAGTCAGGTGTTTTCTCCAGTTCCTGCACGGAAAAGGTGGATGATTGAGGATAAACACAGTTGAAATTTGGCCTTAACAAAAAAATCCCCCCAGGGCCCAACGGAGATTTGCCCCAGGGCCCTAAAGGGAGAGGAAAGGGAATAATTTCCAAATGAAAGCAGGAGGTAGAAAGAAGCCCTGTCTGCCCCCAGAGAAATCCAGCTCTGTCTGTCCCTGTAGCAAGCACGGATGGGAGTCCCACCACCCACCTCTGGAGGATTCTGAGGCTGGGGGAGGTGTTGGCACACAGCTGACTGGCATTTGGCCATCACTGCTAATCCGGGTGGGCAGCCAGCCAGCTCCCTGTTTCCCTGTAACTCCCGCTTCTCAGAAGCATTTCTTTTTATTTCTGCACACTTACAAAGTGGATACAACACAGGCAGACTCCTAGGGCTATGCAGGCAGGGCTCCTGTGCTCTGTGGGTTCTTTTCCCAGGAACCCACTCCTGGCCTTTGACATCTTTTCCCAGGCCCTCCAGTGAAGCAAGAACTGGTCTTCTGCAAGATGTGCCGCACTGAATCTTTCTTCCGCAAGAATGGGGCCTTCGCGCTCCTTGATCCCCGGGATTTGGCCCTCTGACCTTGAGCAGGGCAGAGAGCTTAGGGGAGGGAAGAAGAAATAACACACCTCCTGGTGGGGCGAAGCTGCATGTGTGTCTGTGTCTGTGGCTCTCCCAGGCGCGGAGGCTGCGTTCTGGGCCTTTCTGAAACTCCCTCCGACCTGCCGGTTGCCCTCGTCCCTTTCCCTTAAACCCGCGTCTCTTTAATCATCTCCTTGAGGATTCATCAGAGACTTTAGAGGGGCCTCGGAAGGGTGGGTGATGCTCGTCAGGTTCCACAGCGCCGGGGGCCCACAGTAGCTGCTGGAAGTTCTGGGTATTCCTGGGGAAAAGAGTGGACTTTCATCCCAGATGTCAGGAAAAAGTGACCGCCACCACCCCACAAGACTCCCCTTCCGTCCCCTCACCTGGCCCCGAGGGCTCGCAGCCGCCCGGTCCTTTCCCGAAGCGTTTGCTCCAGCTGTTCCCTCAGGGCGCGTCGTCGCCCTGCCGCGTCCTCCTGGGGAGGGACGGAACGCTGACCACCTGCCCGTGCCTCCCGGCCTCCGGGCTCGAAGCGGCCAGCAGAGGGCAGCAGCCGGGTCGGCCCGCTCCGCAGGTGTTATGGCAAGTGCGGGATACACTCCAGGCAAAGCGATCCAGGTCGCTCCCAGCTCGGCCACCGGCCCCCGCCCCGGCAGGGTCGTTGTGGCCCCACCGCCTTCTCCTGGGGGTCTTGCCTGTGGTGGGAGCTGAGCTGGGCTCGGTGGGGGTTCCAGGGGGTGCACCCGGCAGTGGCGGTTCCTGGCGATGCGGAGGCGCTCCAGGACCTGCAGGAGGCGACTGTCAGCGGCCCAGCGGCCGCCCCTCGGGGCCCCGCCCGCCCAGCCCGGCCGCGCACCCGGAGGCGCTGCCGCTCGCGGTCCCGCTGCCGCCGGCGTCTGGCCTCGCGATTCAGCTCGAGCAGCCGCTGCAGAGCCGACGCCTGCTGCGCGGCGTTCATGCCCGCCGACGCCCGGTCTCTGCTCGGGGGCTCGGGCCACGCGGTCTTCGAGGTTCTGGGGGCCTCCGCAGCACCCCTCGGTCTCCCGAAGGCGCCCGGAAGCCCCGTGGAGCCGCCCCGCTCCTGCTCCGCGGGGCCAGGGCTTTCTCCTGGGCCCTGAAGCGAGGGCGGATCGCGCACCGGGCCCAGGTGCCCTGGGAGAGCAGCGGAGCGCTCCCGCTGCCCGGAGACCCCAGTGCATGGGGCCTCTAGCATCACCGCTCCTGGGCCTGGGAGCAGTGGCCGGGTCAGGGGCCCAGCGAGCTGAAGGGGAGCCCGCGACGCTTCCCGGAGGGGCCACTGCGCTCCCAGGGCCGGTGCGCTGTCTCTTCTCAGGCCGTAGGTCTTAACCTGCATCAGCTGGGTGGTCCTACCCCGGGGCCCCGGGCCCGCCCTTCCCCCAGGCTGCCGCATCCGTTCCCCCAGGGACCTGCAGATGTCCCCCGGGGAGCCGCCTTTATCCCGGGGCCCCTCTCCCCAAGCCGCCTCCCAGCCTGGTGGGATACAGGCTCTGCCCTCGGAAGATTGGAGGATCTTCTCTCCCGAACCCCGAGGGGAGTCTGCACTCGGCTCCGGGAGGGCCTCCTTTCTCTCGCATTTGAGGCGACTCTCGCTTTGACCTGGAGGCGCCCCTTTGTGCTCGCCCTGGAGGCCCTCCCATCTTTGACCTTGAGAGACCTCTTCCATCAGAGCCTGAGTGGCCTCCCCACTCGGACCCTGGTTTGTCTCTCTCTTACTCTGACACTGAGGGTCCCCCTCTCTCTGACTGTGAGGAATCTCATTCCTTAGCAGTTTCTTCTGTTCTGCTCTCTCCTGGCCCAGGCTCCAGCCCAGCCCCTCCAGGGGATCTTGGGGTTCTGGCAGGCCCGGGGAGGGGAGGCCTGGGCGCCCTGGGGCTCCCTGAGCCAGCTTTTTCTCCTGTAGGCTCCCAGATGATAGTTGATGGGGCCTCTGGGGCGTGGGCTCTGCTTGGCTCCCCTCTTGCCTCTGGGCCAGGTCCTAGGAAGGAAGAACACTTGGTCCCAGGTTTGTGAGGGAATCCTCCCTCCAGGGCCACTTCCCTCAGGGGAACCTGGAGCCCCAGGGCCCTGGTCGGCCTTACTCCCATTAGGCCCCTGGCCTGACTCCTGCATTTGTAAAGCCCATGTTGTGCTGTGCTGTGCTTAGTCACTCAGTCATGCCTGACTGCAGCCTCGTGGAAGATAGCCTGGGAAGCCCCAGACCCATGTATGTAGTTTAAAAGGTGCTTCAGCGATGGCCCCTTTTTCCACCTGGCTGCGGGCTTCTCACCCCAGCAGTCTCCTCCCAGGCAGACCCCACCTCTGCTATCCCCAATCTGAGAGGGGTCTTGCCCAGGAAACTTCCACCCTTTCACCTCGAACTCTGAGATTCCTGGTTCTCCAGGGCTACTGCTGGTGGTGAGGTTCAGCTCTTGGAAGCAACCTGAAGGAGAAAGACAGATGTCTGCTCATGTCCCAGCCCCTCACACACAACACCCCTGAACTGGAACCAGGAAGCCCAGGGAGTCCCCAGCAGGTGAGGGGACTGAATTGAGTGGCGGTGGTAGGGTACCCTGAGGGCTGGTGTTGGAACTTCAAGGCCTTCCCAGCTTACCATTCCACCTTTATTTACACAGCCTGCTATGTGTCTGCTTGTCAGGTTGGCCTGCCAACAGCTGACCCCATCTTCCTCATCCTCTCAGCCAAGGACCACCTCGGAGGAACCTATACACCGTCTTCCTCAAAACCGCCAGAGGCAGCCCAGGAGCAGGAAGGGACTGTCTGCCAGGGCCACCAGTCCCTCTTAAGGACACCCCCTACTTTGTTCTCGTGTGCCTGTCCAGCCCCACAATGGGCGCCTGACTTTTCTATTGTTAAGGATAATCCTCTTTAGCTCTTTCTTGGTTTCTGGACAGCAAAATCAAATGAAATTCAAGAAGTGGAATTTTAGGCCAGAGGCTAGTCTAAAAACTGCAAGTCTTTATAATTAACAAAAGGAATCTAAAAAAAGAGATGAAATGTCGCTGCTCCTTTGCAGCTGTGGAGGAAGGAGCATCGTTTTGCATTCATAAAACCACTTAAAAGAACCTGATTTCATAAGGTCTTAAATTGAGAACTCTCATAAGAAATGCCATCTTTATGCAACATGGATGTGTGAATATTCATAACAGTAACCAAATGGGAATGTTCTCTGTGAAAACAAATCTGTCTTTGGAAGAGTTTTGAACAAAGACATCTGGTAAGAGTCCCAAGCCTTCAGAAATTATTGCCATGAACTATGAAAATAACCTCCAACCCCGTCCCTCTGTAATTCTGATCTGTTGTCTTACTGGATCATTTATTTTACTGGTTATAATGCTGTAATAGATATCTTCTGCTGATGTAGTCCCAAGAGATAATATACTTGTAAAGTTTCTGTTGATCAGAAAATAATCATTTGTACTTTCCTCCTCTCGCCCGTACACGATGTCACAATTAAAAAGCTTGTGACTTTGCCAGGCTTATTATTTAACCAATCATTTGAGAGCCTGTTTTATTTAAATGAACAGGCCCAGGGCTCATAGCATCCATCCTGATGAATTCTAATCACCTGTTTATTGTCACACTCTCTCACTAGGCTGTGATCTCCTCGGAGATGAGGACAAGTGCCCTGTATCTCCCCAGTGCCTGGCATGAGGGTGGCAGCTTGGCAGCTTGGAGCTGCCATTCCATTCCATCCCCGCTGGAGGACAGGGAGGACAGACAGACATTCCCAGCACTCTCTACTCTGAGCCCCAGCTTAGCTTCAGAATCCTCCTGGACACAGTGCCTGAGATGGCTGGCACCAATCAGGTAGAGTTGGCATAGAAAAGAAAACCTGGGGCTTCCCAGGTGGCTCAGTGGTAAAGAATCTGCCTGCCAAGGCAGGAGACGCGGGTTCGATCCCTGGTCCAGGAAGATCCCACAAGCGGTGGAGCGACTAAGCCTGTGCTCTAGAGCCTGGGAGCAGCAAGTATGGAGCCCAAGTGCCACAACCACTGAAGCCTGTACTCTGAACCAAGAGAAGCCTCTGCAATGAGAAGCCTGAACCACAGCTAGGGAGTAACCTCTGCTTGCTGCAACTAGAGAAAAGCCTGTGCAGCAATGAAGACCCAGCACAGCCAAACATACATACATAAATAAAATTATTTTTTGAAAAAGAAAACCTACTTTTTGTCCCTGGCTGCCCCTGGCACCCCCACAAAAAGGTATGAGAGGAAGAATAGGTGAGGATGAACCAGAATCCCGGGACTTGGGGTGATGGCTTCCTGGGTTGTCCCAACCTAAGCTCACAGCATCTATTTCACTGAATTCAACCCAGGGGCTTCTATTCTCCTGGCTGCCAACCCCTCCTGTCAAAGTACCAGATGTGGGCCCTTCCGCAGGCAAGCCAGGGCTCTCCTGCCTTGGGTCTGCATCCAGGCTGGCTTCCCTCAGATCCAGGGCTGATGGCAGGTCCGCTGCCCGGCCCCTGCAGGAATGCAAGGACTGCCTCAGGCATACCTCTTGCTTTTGGTTCTGCTGCCAGGGGGGTTGGGGGGTGTAGGACTCCCCACCCACAGCAAGCTACAGGAGTCTTCCCACCCCATCACCCAAACTCAGTCCATGGCAGCCTCCTCTCACCCACCACTGAATGCTAGGAGCTGGAACTTGAGGTTATCCTTTTCAGGGACTGTGGGGCAACCATGTGGGTTCAACTGAGTAAAAGCCCCAGGAGGAGTTAGGGGCATGAGGAGGGGTCGCTGGGCAGGGCTCTGGAGAGCTACAGGGCAAAGGGTCCCGGGTTTGGTCACTTTGTGTGGCAACATGGAGTGGACAGAATTCCATGGAGACTTACCCCTCCAGGAGCTGATGGTTCTGGCTTAGGGAGTCCTCAGTCTGGGGCGGTGGGCACAGCCTGGAATTCTGGAAGGATTGGGGGGTGCCCCAGCCCACACAGCATCATCCCCCAGTGTGGTAGGCAGCCTCTAAAACAGCTCCCAGGGATCCATCTTCTGGCTTCTGTGCCCTTGTGTGACCCCTCTCCTTTCCCTCCATGTCAAGGAGCTTAGAGACGGATCCCTCCTACCCACTCCAGCCTTCAGATGAGACTGTAGCCCTGGCCAAAAATGTTGGCTGGATACTTCCTCAGTAGTCATGACTAACACCCACTCCTGCTACAGCTACTAACCTGCCCAAAGGGCCTCAGGCAGCAGGGTGCTGAGCCAGGACTAGGAGGCACATCTTAGTTCCAGTCACCACAGCACCATCCTTCCCGGGGTGGCAGGCCAGGGGGGGAGCCACCAGCTCTGGAGGGAGGGACCTGGGGCTGGGGCTACTCAGGGTCCCATCTCAGGGGCACCCTGAACATCAGCGCCTCTGTCTTCTGGGCCCCATCAGACCTGCTTTCCTCTCTCACTGTAGCATGGCTAAAGGCATGGTGTTACCATGCAGTTGATTGGACTAGAACAGTTCATTATGGAACAGTAACAGGCCGGAATGGTCCTGTATGTCCAGCAGGGTGCTAAACCGTCTATACAGATGAGTTCACGGGCCTCGCAGCAGCCCTCTGAAAAGAGCTCTTATCTTCCCCATCCTGTAGCCGAGGAAGGAAACAGGCTTCCAGTCCACAGGAAGCATCAGAGCGGAGATGTGAACTGAGATCTGTCTCCAAAGCCCATGTTCCTCCCACTTCTAGGCCACTGCGAGTGCCCCACTGTCTCACTGACCCCCCAGCTCTCAGCCAAGCCCCAGCTCACCCCACTCGACAGCCGCTCAGAGTTGTCATCTGTCCTGCTGCGGGGCTTGCTGAGCTGGTTCTGTGTGTGCTGGACCTGGGCCCTCAGGTCACAGAACTGGGCCCAGGGTGGCCAGAAGAGGCCCAGGCCCGCCCCGGTCAGCAGCTCCAAATCCCACAGGAGCTGCAGGAAGGTGGGGTGCTGGGATGTGAGGGGGCACTTGCCCCACCCTCTGCCGCACCCCCTGGCCAGCCGGCCCCTACCTGCTCCTGGGCCCGCCGGCTCCGCTCCATCTGCAGCAGCACATTGGGCAGTTCCAGGACTGACAGGCAGGCTTGGCCCTCTTGCACCTGGGGAGGCAAGGTGGAATCAGACCCCACGGACACCTGCCCACTCAGAGACGGTGCCCTGTGGCCCTCACCTGCTGCAGGGCAGCCCGGAGCTGGTCTAGGCCTGCAGGGAACCGGAAGAGGTGCTGGTACAGGGCCAAGACTTGCTTGGGGCTACAAGGGAGCCCTAGGCCCCCCAGGATGGTTGCCTGCTCCATGGAGTTGGGGGCCTGGGAGGGTGTTCCCCACCCCCTACTCCCTGCTTCTCCTGGAGAAGAGAAGGACCAGGAACCAGGGACAGGGACGAGAAGGAGACAAAGGCTCCTGAGCTCATTAACACAGGTCCCTGACATCTGACCCAGGCCTGGACCTCAGCCAAGTCTCCTAGAGACGCTGGCCTGACTTGGATCCAGGTTTCTTGGCCACGTGGGTGGCAGTGTGGGGTGAGGACTGTGACTCTGACAGAGAGAGGTGTGTGCAGGTTCTCGTTTGCAGCCCCGCATAAGCATCTGTTTTATGTATACAGTTGACCCTTAAACAACACAGGGATTAGGGGCCCTGACCCTCCCTGCAGTCAAAAATCCACATATAACTTACAATCTGCCCTCTGTATCCAAGGATTCAAGCTATCGGGGAGGGTGCAGTACTGTAGTATTTACTACTGAAAAAAATTCTGAGTATAAGTGCTTTTGTGTAGTTCAAAGCCATGTTGTTCAAATGTCAACTATATATATGGAGTCCCGAGAGTAACGGGTAAGAGTCATTTACTGGGTCGTTGTCTCTGAGGGGCAGCAAGGGAAAAGGGTTAGCCATGTCATCTTTGATCAGAAGGGCGATCAGCACAGTGAAAGCCCCAGTGGCCATTTGTCCCCACAGGCTGTGTTAGTCAACAGGACCATTTACATTTCAGGACAGCTAGGCATGGACCCTGCAAGTGGAGAGCTTGTGCCAGGAGGGGTGGCAGAAGAGACTAAACAGGCTCTTAAAAACATGGGTGAAATTCTGAAATCAGCAGGCTGCGACTTCACGTATGTGGTAAAACAACTGTTTTGCTGGCTGACATAAATGACTTCAATACTGTCAATGACATCCACAAACAATATTTCCAGAGTAGTTTTCCTGCTTGAGCTGCTTACCAGGTTGCTGCTTTGCCCAAAGGAGACTGTGTTGAGAGCAAAGAAATAGCTGTGCAAGGACCTCTCGGAATAGCATGATTCTAAGTGGGCCCAATTATTTAGTTATTTAGTCTGAAATTTTAATATTTTTAAACTAATGGCTTAATCTTTGTTGGAGAGTGTGAGAGAGTCATTTCCTAGGCAGGTTGATAAGAAGTCTGGGGGTCCCCAAGGAGAGAGAGGTCTGGAATATTCAAGGAGGAAGAAAGGACAAACTTTTTACTTTTTTCCTTTACATTCCTTAGGATTATATAACAATAATGTATCCTGCCTGAGGACAGTCTTTGGATTAAACCCTCTGGCTAATTCTGTTATCTTAAAACATAAATTATGGGAGTAGGTCTGGTCTTTACAAGGATGTATCCTGTTTGAGGACAGTCTTTGGATTAAACCTTCTGGCCAACTCTGTTATCTTAAAATGTAAATTATGGGAGTAGGTCTGGTGAGGTCTTTACAACCTCCAGACATTCTTTGGATTCATTAGAGAGTATATAACTCCATTGCTAACACTAGCAAGGGGGTACTCTTTCTACCCCCTTCTGATATCTATGTCAGAAACTTTCTCTATCTCCTTTATACTTTAATAAAACTTTATCTCACAAAAGCTCTGAGTGATCCAGCCTTGTCTCTGGCCCCGGATTGAATTCTTCTCCTCCGGAGGCCAAGAACCCTGGCGTCTTTGCGTGATTCAGAAACAACCTTTCAAGTTTAAGGTTGAAATATTAGGAAAATACAATACCATGTACTATAAAATAAGGGGAACTGAACATGAATTGAAGATTAATGATGAATCTAGTTACCAATATTATAAATTACACTTCTATAACACTTGTATTGCTGGATGTGGGAAAACAGACATGCCTTACTTAACTCAGAAAAATAAAAGCAGAAGGAAATAACATGTAGGAAAGATGAGTTACTATTCCTCATTTTAATGAGGAAAGATGAGTTACTATTCCTCAGGAAATAAGAATGAGCACATCTAATTCAATTAAACTCTTAATTTAATGATGTGAACTATTTTGTTATGTCAGATCTGTGATTCTGCTTTTACTTGAGTAAAATTAAAGTCTGAATGTGGTAAAGGAGAAGAAACTGGACCAAATTTTACAGAGATAATGTTTTTCTAATGGAAGTAAAGTAGCATGCAGATTAAAAAAAAAACACCCCAAACTGTATATATGAAGGTTGCAACTGCATTATAGATGTGATATATACCCAATACTTTGGCCACCTGATACGAAGACCCAATTCATTGGAAAAGACCCTGATGTTGGGAAAGATTGAAGGCAGGAGAAGGAGACAACAGAGGATGAAACAGTTGGACGGCATCACCAACTCAATGGACATAAGTCTGAGCAAATTCCGGGTGATGGTGAAGGACAGGGAAGCCTCGTGTGCTGCAGTCCATGAGGTCTCAAAGAGTCAGACATGACTTAGCGACTGAACAACATGGCCAAACAGGCAGCAGTTCCCAACAGCTTACCGTATGCCAGGACACAAGACGCTGCTGTGGACGTGTGATCCTTCCTTGAAGCAACTCTATGAAGTAACTGGTATCATCTTCATCCCCACTTCACAGATGAGAAGACCAGGCCCCAGAGAGTAAGCTGCCCTAACTAACACAGGGCATTGTCTCCCTCATCTGGAGACACACAGCCCAAGAAACAGGCTCCGGGAAGATGTGGTCCCAAGTGTGAGCTATAACGCACTTCCCTAATGCTTGCTCCAAACTGTCCGTGGTCACTCTTTATTCCCCACAACACAGGAGATAAAGCGGGTGAGGACACATATGGGATGGTCTGTCATCTTCCCCTGCTGTCAGAAGTATCCTGGCCTGCCTACGTCTTGTAACAGCTCTGTGAAAGGGGCCCCAGCGGAAGCAGGCTGAACAAGCAGGCATGGGGTCTCAGTTCAGCCCAATGCCCTGCCTTCAACCCTGTTGGAATACTGGGGGCCCCATCAGGAGAACTGAGTCCCCCAACCCCAATTGTTTAGCTAAGTTCCCTAAAATATCAAGATCACATAACTGATAGGCGGCAGAGAGAACTCAGAGTTCTCTTTGAAAAGAGACTTTCCGTCAAAAAAGGAGATTTTTTTTTTTTCGATTTCAGACTCCAAGTTCTTTTCCCTATAAGGATGTCTTTGAAAGTTACACATGTGTCCCCTGCCCCCATGTCCATCAGGGGTGGGTGTAGCTGCGAACACACACAGAGTACGTGCGTGGGTTTATCTGGGCTTCTGAGAGGTGTGTGTGTGGTCCATCATGGGTCTGCATGTCATCACATACATACTGTCTTTCCTCTTCCTCACCCCAGGCTCGGGGTCCCTTTGTCACCAGGTCTTAGAGTGGCCCACAGGGTGCCTGAGCTCTCAATATCCCTGAAACCAGGAGGAAAGGGGATGCAACATGGGGACTGAGACCCTTCTCCGGGCTCCTCAGCCCCTGCACGATTGCACAAGGATCCACAGAAGCCCCCGCAGAGGGGCCACAGGCTGTGCCTACGACATGTAAGCACAGGGCTGGGATGGGACTCCTGGGTCCTCCTCCTGCCCACAGCAGGGTTTCCCAGGCAGCCCAGGGTGTGGCAGGCAGGGCAGCCCAGGGATGCAGGCTCAGAGAGTGTGTAAGGTCCGGGTCCGAGTCCCCACAGCTGCCACCACCCCAATTCTGGGACACTGATCTCTGGACCCCACGTTCCAAACAGCCCCCCTCACCACCACCCCAGCACCGGGAAGAAGCACATACACACACAAGGAAACCTTAGGCTGGACCCTAAGTTTACTATTTCCGATGCAACACAGCTGGGGTCTTTGTGGGAGCCACGCCCAGCCTCCCAGCACCCAGGCAGGGTGAGACGTGCTCGCCAAGGGGAGACTTCATGTCCGGTGAGTCCTGGTTGGTGTTGTCCTGGCTCAGGTTGGCCCCTGGGGCTCCCGGTTGGGGTTGAGCGGAGGGCTGGGCAGCTGGTCCCCAGTGAGCAGGACTGGGGGGCAGGCCTCGGGTGAGATACAGTGGGCCTCGTGCTCCACCAGGCCCGCTGGGCACTGGCAGCCGGGGATGCAGGGTCGCACACAGTGGGCTGCCAGCTCCCCCAGGGGGATGTGCCGGTTGAAGCAGGTGCGGGGACAGGGTGGGCCACACTCATCAAACACGAAGCCACGGTCCAGGGGGCAGCCCACCACTGCAGACGGAGTGGAAGGCAGGGTCACCGTCCAGTCTCCAGGCTCCCCCACCAACCCCGTGACCCTCCCTGAACCTTCCCTGTCCAGACCTGAGCCCTCCGTGTCACCCCCTCCCCCAGCTTGTCCTGGGCACTGCCCCCTCACCACAGAGTGTGGGGCCCCGCCAGGCCGGTGTCACCCCTGCACGGCGACAGTGGCTGGCATAGGCTTCCAGAGCATCACAGAGGCAGGCGTCAGCAGAGGAACCGGGCCCGCAAGCACAGAGGTCATACACGCAGGCGGCAAAGAAGGGGTCTGGCGGCACCACAGCATGGCAGCGGCTGAACGGGGCAGACTTCAGCACCGCACACCGGGCATTGGCCTCACGCCTGGCACGGTACCCTGCTGCCCGGCATGGATCCACCTCACGGCCCTTGGAACAGGGCCGACCAGGTCCTGGGCCCTCTGGGACCTAGGTGGGGAAAGCGGCCCTGATATGACAGCATCCACTGGCAGCTGACCTCCGTATGCTATGTTCTTCAAGTGCTTTGCACCAGATGTTTTGTTTTAGCCTCAAAAACTTCCTTACAAGAACAGCAAAGAAAGCATCAGCTACTTTTCCTTAAAAGTAAGTGTCTTGTTAAGTGTCTTGTCCAAGACTTAGAGTCAGTGAGTGATGAAGCAGGTCTTGGGGATTCAGTTGATGAGATCCCTTCCAACAGGCCCACCCCACCCAGCACCGTAACAGGCAAGAAGACTCCAAACCTTCCTGAAAGCCCCAAAGCCCAACCCCCCCTTTCCTTACCAGAGGGCTGCTCTGACACTCAGGCTCAACTGTGCCTCCCCCAGCCCCTCACTTCTGTGCAACTCACCTGCCAGCTATTCCCAAACGCAGCCTCAGTGGGCCGGAGCAGCTCCTCAGGGTCCTGCAGGTCATCCTGGGCAAAGCCATTGAAGTTGCCACAGAGCCCACACATGTGGCCCCGGTAGGAGCCAGGCACTCTCACCTCCACCTGGGACCGCCCATCCCACAGCACCTGTGCAGAGAGGCGGGGACTGGAGAGCAGGAGAAAGCCAGGGGCCCCAGGAAGCCCAGGGCCCATCCCAGTGGTGTGTCAGCATGCCCCCTGCAGGAGGGGAGGAGAAAGGACAGCTGGAGTGCCTCATGGAAGGGACGCTTGCTCTGGCCAAGGTCAGGAAGGCACCGCAGGAGGGCACCTTCTCCCGCCATCATCCCTGAGCTAGGCTTCCCCGTGAAGTGCAACCCACTTCCAGAGATTCACTCCCTCACGGGCATTCAGGCCCTACAGAGGACAAACCACAAGTAGAGTCTGGTATCCTAAGTTTTCGTGGGTGCTAAGTCGCTTCAGTTGTGTCTGACTTTGTGCAACCCCCATGGACTATAGCCCACCAGGCTCCTCTGTCCATGGGATTCTCTAGGCAAGAATACTGGAGTGAGTTGCCATGCCCTCCTCCAGGGGATCTTCCCAACCCAGGGATCAAACCTGCATCTTTTATGTTTCCTGCACTGGCAGGCAGGTTCTTTACCACTAGTATCACCTGGGAAGCCCCATCCTAAGTGTGGATAAGCCTTATTTCGTGGACTTACAAATGTGCTTCTGGCTGGAGGCAGGGGAGTGAATTACTCTTTGACATGGGAATTGGAATCTCTGAAACCATCATCTAGGAGAGGATAGTTGACATTGTCTCCCCACCCCACCCTTCCCCGGTTTGACCATGGGAAAGCTGAGGCCCAGAGGGCTAGTTTAAGGCAATGGCCTAAGAGCCCCAGCACATCAGTGGCTGGACACCAGGCTCAGAACTCCTTTCATCACACCTGGAGTTCTCTAGCCCTGATTCCTCTTCCCCTTGGAAACCCGCAGAACTCTCTAAGCTCCTTGGCCTCGTGGCCTGGTAGGTAGTTGGTATTCCCCCTCCTACAGGATAGGCTTGAGGCGCCCCCCTGCCCCACCCTGGCCCAGGCCGCACCTGGAGGCCCGGCTGGGAGTGCAGCACCACCGTGTGTCCCCGAAGCTCCACGTAGAACAGCGGTTCCTGCAGGAAGGGCAAGGCCACGGGGCGCCCGTCCACCTAGAGGAGAAGGGACGTGGGAGGAGGAGCGAGGTCGGGACAGAGGAGGGGACAGAACCGATTAAGCGGTCCCCGGATCCTTGGCTCTACTGACCGTGACCTCCCCGCCCTGAAGCAGCCGCACCGCCACATCTCCCAGCAGCACAGCCACCTCCTGGGTCCAGGACACGCCGCTCAGGCCCCGGTCATCGTTGGCCACGTGCACGCTGCGGTGGGAGGCCCGGGTTTAGGGGTCAGCAGGGCCGGGTGTGGGGCCGGGCAGGGAGAAAGGCAGAGGGAGCGGCGCACCTGAAGTCCCCGCCACGGCAGTCCTTGGCCAGCACGTAGCTGCAGCTGCCCTGGAAGTGCAGCAGGCGGCCGTCGAAGGTGCGGTAATGAGGGTCTCCGAAGGCCATGCAGGAAGCGGGCCGGGGCAGGCAGCGGGGACAGCAGCTGCCAGGACTCAGGGCGGGGGCCTCTTCCTGGCCTCCGCCCCGCACACGATCAGACACGCCGCGCTCCCGGCCGGGCCCCATGCTGAGCCTCCCCGGGGGACCCAGCTTCGCCGGGGAGGCTCCCGGGCTCCCGAGCTCCGGCTGGCGGGGATCAGGACGCCACCTCGTGGCCGTGTCAGACACTGCACGACCCGGGAGAGCCCGGTTTCCTACTTCCCCGTTGCTCCAGGTGGGCGGTGCCACGTGCCCACCCATCCCTCCGCCCCAGACCCTGGCACTCACGGGCCCACAGGAGAGCGGCGGGCAGCGCTGGCTGTGGCAGCGCACGGTGCCTGCCACGCAGGAGCAGTTGGTGCAGGCGTCCACGTCCCAGCGCTCCCCGGAGGCCACCAGCCGGCCCTGGTGCGCGCACGACGGGGCGGGGGCTGAGGGGACGCGAAGGGCGAGGGTCAGATGCCCGTCCCTCACGCTGGGTCTCGCTCCGCGCCCCGACCCCCAGCCCCATGGCCCTGGCCCGCACCTTGGCACCTCTCACAGCACCTGCCAGCCTCCCGCACCTTCGTCCAGCCGCGCGGGCAGGTGAGCGCCTGGCACTCCTCCAGGCGGCACTCCACGTGGCCCCGCTGAGGACAGACGTCATTGCTCTAGGGACTTCCGGCAGGGTTTGGAGTCCCTGCCTCACACTTCTGCATCAGGGACTGGGCAAGCAACCCCTCTCCCACAAGGGCACCCACTTCATGATCAAGTAGGGGGTGAAATCACCTTCAGCTGCTTGCCCTCACACAGGGGCACCTCTGCCCTCTCACCCAGAGGGGCTGCCTTTTTATAATTACCTCCAAGACCCCATATTCCCTGGTCCGGTGTCCTGAGGCCCTTCCCTTTATCCGTCTGTAAGGTCCTCCACCCCCCACCCTCCCTCCCCCAGCTCACACGGCAGGTGCAGGTGACACAGGCGTTGCTGGGGTCCCGCCAGCTCTCTCCATCCGCCACTGTCCGGCCCTCAGCCTCCACCACACATTCTGAGGACAAAGAAATGGGGATGGGGAGGCACTGTCATTCTGGCTGCATGAGCTCACCCTGAAGGCCCGGGGCAGGGCAGTGCCCACCCCATCTAATTAGTACCCTGGGGGTGTTAATTTCTTCAACCAGCAGCACCATGGCGGACTAAATGGCAGACCTTACGTCAGAGCCCAGGATATCCAGAGCGTCCCAGAAACTGAAAGAGCCAGAACTTTCCTTTGGTCTGGCTGCCAGCTCAGCAGTGCAATGCCCTCTGAGAGTGTTGGCCCTCTCTGGCCAGCCCTCGAGAATCCAGGCTCCATTCACTCCTCCCTCCACCTCACGGGTCCCTCCGCTAATGCACAGCCCTCCATTTCTATAAAAGAACAAACCCTGCATTCGGAGTGCACACCCCAGGTTGCCCACTTGGCCCATAGAGGCCACGCCTCCTGTCTCCCTCCTGGCGCATGTTCTGAGGATGCAGAACAAAACTGGGCACGAACCCTGGCACACGGGGCAGCAGCTCCCAGGAGGTATGTAGCGTTCCGGCAGGGGACAGCTGAGCTCAGGACAGGCCCGGTGAATGCAGAGCCAAGTCAGGTCCTATGGAAGGGCATGGGAACAGCACAGGTAGAAACCACAGGGAAGGCGCAGGGCCTAGGTGAAATGTGACATTCAGGACAAGTGGGCGAATGCTGTTGGGGCAATTGGGAAGCCTGGAGGTGCTAAACAGAGGAGTCACAGCTACAGAGGAGGAAGAAGAGGGGGCTGGAGGAATCCTCAAGGCCAGACGGCTCACCTGGCACTGGCAGGTGTAGCAGGGGTCTGGTGGGGTCAGCTCAGACCCCAGCAGGTGCTCTGTGCAGTGACTCAGTGCTTCTGTGAAGACAAGAATGCAGTATGGGAGATGCTGGGGGAGCAGGGACGAAAGCCCAGTTGACTGCCTGCCCCCTTACTGTGTCCCGGGATTTCTTGAGCCCAGGACATACTTATAGCCCTGACACCTTGACTCCAGGGAAGACAAATCCTTTTTCCTTTTGTTTCAGCCAAGAAAAGTTTGGACTCTTGACAAGGAACTCTGCTAGGATGGGGACCCTGGAAACGGGCAAGGTGTGGCTTCCTCAGCCTGAGGTGGCTAAGGACCATGCAGCTGCCTGGCCTGCCCCTCCCACTTCTGTTCATTTTGTCTGGAAGGAAGCACAATGAGCCAGGTACCCCAGTTCCAATCCTGGCTCCAACACTCAGAGCCTGTGCCACTTTTTGGCAAATTAATCAATTTCTCTGAACTTCAATTTCTTCATCTGTAAAATTCCTCATCACTGGGTAACTGTGAGAAGTAAATGTGAAACTGTTTATTAAAAGTAACAAGTACAAAAGAATAAAAGAGAATCCAAAAAATGTAAAAAAATAAATAAAAGTAACAAGTACAGTGTGTGGCATACAGTAGGTGCTTAATAAGAATGGAAACAATGATGGACTTTAAAGTTTCTTAGGTTCCAAAATCACTGCAGATGGTGACTGCAGTGATGAAATTAAAAGATGCTTGCTCCTTGGAAGAAAAGCTATGACCAAATTAGACAGCATATTAAAAAGCAGAGATATTACTTTGCCAACAAAAGTCTATCTAGTCAAAGTTATGTTTTTTCCAGTAGTCATGTATGGATGTGAGAGTTGGACCATAAAGAAGGCTGAGCACCTTAAAGGCTGATACTTTTGAACTGAGGTGTTGGAGAAGCCTCTAGTCCTTTGGACTGCAAAGAAATCCAACCAGTCCATCCTAATGGAAATCAGTCCTGAATATTCATTGGAAGGACTGATGCTGAAACTGAACCTCCGATACTTTGGCCACCTGATGCGAAGAGCCAACTCATTAATAAAGACCCTGATGCTGGGAAAGATTAAAGGCAGGAGGAGAAGGGGACGAAAGAGAACGAGATGGTTGGTTGGCATCACTGACTTAATGGACATGAGTTTGAGCAAGCTCTGGGAAATGGTGAAGGACAGGGAAGCCTGGCGTGCTGCAGTCCATGGGGTTGCAAACAGTCGGACATAACTGAATGACTGAACAACAACAACAGCAGTACGTGGCATACAGTAGGTGCTTAAAAAGTATTATTATTTTTCTCTCCCCCTGCAGCACATTCTAGCAGGTGTTGGTAAGGATAGCTCTCCCCACCTCTGTAGCTGGACCGCTCAGTGCCCCTCTGGTCCTAAGATCCCTGCTCTCAACAAGCCAGCAGCCTGCACACCTGCAACCCTGTAGCACCACCTGCTGGACAAGAGGCAGCAGGCTTCAGCTCAGCTCAGTTCAGTTCAGTCACTCAGTCCTGTCCGACTCCTTGCAACCCCATGGACTGTAGCACGCCAGGCCTCCCTGTCCTTCACCAACTCCCAGAGCTTGCTGTAACTCACGTCCATCAAGTCAGTGATGCCATCCAACTATCGAATCCTCTGCCGTCCCCTTCTCCTCCCCCTTCAATCTTTCCCAGCATCAGGGTCTTTTCCAATGAGTCAGTTCTTCACATCAGGTGGCCAAAGTATTGGAGCTTCAGCTTCACCTTCTTCCTTCATTCAGTCCTTACAATGAATATTCAGGATTGATTTCCTTTAAGATTGACTGGTTGGATCTCCTTGCAGTCCAAGGGACTCTCAAGAGGCTTCTCCAACACCTCAGTTCAAAAGCATCAATTCTTCGGCACTCAGCTTTCTTTATAGTCCAACTCTCACATCCACACATGACCACTGGGAAAACTATAACTTTGACTAGATGGACCTTTGTTGGCAAAATAATGTCTCTGCTTTTTAATATGCTGTCTAGGTTGGTCATAGCTTTTCTTCCAAGGAGCAAGTGTCTTTTAATTTCATCACTGCAGTCACCATCTGCAGTGATTTTGGAACCCAAGAAAATAAAGTCTGTCACTGTTTCCATTGTTTTCCCATCTATATGCCATGAAGTGATGGGACCAGATGCCATGATCTTAGTTTTTTGAATGTTGAGTTTTAAGCCAACTTTTTCACTCTCCTCTTTCACTTTCATCAAGAGGCTCTTTAGTTCTTCTTTGCTTTCTGCCATAAGGGTGGTGTCACCTTTGTATCTGAGGTTATTGATATTTCTCCCTGCAACAATTAGTTTCCCTGGTTTCCCCTTAGGGCCATACAGGTCTCACTGGCTAGGGTGTGGGCTTCTAGAACAACCCACTGGACTCAGGAAGGGGCTGGGACTGTGGAGGAGAGCTGGCTGGCCCATTTGGTGTCACTCTGGGGGGTGGCAGCCCTGCCCTCTTGACCTCCCTGCCAGTCCGGGGACTCACCGGCACAGGTGGGGCAGCATTGCTGGGGCCCGGGGGTCAGGAGCTGGCTGGCGGGGCAGCCCACCAGGCGGGGGCACTGCTGCCGGTGACAGCTCAGGCTGGGTGTCCCCTCAGGCTGCAGCTGAGCAAGAGGGCAGAGGGTGGGATCCGGGCCATGGAAGCCAAGAGCCGCCCCCTTTCCACTGGACTCCAGGCAACTCTGTCTGCAGAGAGACTCAATCTCTCCCCAGACTTGCCCCCCACCCCCCACCCTCTATGGGGTGCCTGCTCCTGTAGTCACTTGGGCGTGAGCGTTTGTGTGACCTTTGAGCCTTCTGCAAGCTCAGGGCATCTTCCCTCCCCAGTCCTACTGCCTAATCTCCCGATCCATGACATCATTTGCCTGCTCAAAACCCTTCCATTGACTCACAGTTCTTTCAAATAGACTTTCCCCAATAGGGCCCCCGACCACTTTCCAGGTGCCTCCCCCCAGATTTCTACCCATGCCACCCTCCACTCCAGCGGGGTGGGCCTGCCCACTGCCTGCCCCACAACCCCAGACTTCCTGGCCCTGTCGGCTCTTCACCCCAAGCCCCTGCCTCTCTCCCTGGCCACAAGGACACACTCCTGTCCCTGACCCCACAGTGCCTGCTCCCCAGTGTCGAGGCTGCCCTTCCACGGTGCCCTCCCCTACCTCACAGACGCATATTTCGCAGGGGTCTGCACCAGGCTGGAAGCTCTCTCCTGGCTCATACTTCCGACCCTCATGCTCACAGTCTTGTTGGAGGGTGAAGGTTGGGGGGTGGGGGGTGGGAGGGGTACAGGTGGGGTGGGGTAAGAGTAGAACAAAACCAGGGAACTTTCAGACTGGCCGCCATGCCAGGGGTGGGGTTCTCTGCCCCCTGGACTCCCCCAACCTCAGAGACTGGAGTGTGTATAGGAATGGGGGCCACCCAGCCCAAGGCAGTGACAGGGAGATGCTGACTGGCTCTGCCTCCTTGCCACCCCCCGCCTCAGCCCTCCCCAGGCATCAAGGGCATACCGGAGCACCGAGGGCAGCAATCCCTGGGCCCCTGGTGGGGCTGGGCGCAGGAGGTGGAACACTGGACGCGGGCACAGGTGACGACACCCTCATGACACATGCAGGAGGAGCAGGGGCTGTCGGGAGGCTTCCAGCTACTGCCTTCGGGGTGCTCCTCCCCATGGAACAGGCAGCCTGTGTCCACGGTGGGCCGGGATGAGCTCTGAGTCTGGGTTCTGCATGTCTGCCCCCGACCCCCTGCTCCACCCTGCATAGTCAGTAGGGCAGGTGGGTAACCAGGAGGGGCTTGTTCAGGGCTGGAGTGGGAAGCTGGGACAGAACCCCTGTGTGTGCTGGAGGGGAAAGACCTTGGGTCAGGGTCAGAACACCCAGGTTCTAATCCTGTTCCCGCCTGTTTGCTAGACCCTAAGCCAGGCAGCAGGCACTGCCCGTCCCAGCCCAGCACCAGCAGCAGCACCTGGCCTGTGGTAGCAGGGTAATGCATACATGTGACGCTAGTGGTAAAGAACCTGCTTGCTAGTGCAGGAGACACAAGAGACATGGCTTGGATCCCTGGGTCTGGAAGATGTCTTGGCGGAGGAAATGGCAACCCACTCCAGTATCTTTGCCTGGAAAATCCCAGGGACAGAGGAGCCTCACAGGCTACAATCCATGGGGTTGCAAAGAGTTGGACACGACTGAAGCAACTTAGCAGGCATGCACGGGATGAATGAAAGATTCCATCACTAACCATGTGCCCAAGGTAACTCCATCTCTCCAAGCCTCAGTTTCCTCACCCATTAAATGGAGATTTCATCTGTCCTGCCTACCTCCCAGGGCAAGGAGATGTTCATGGTTCTTATACCATTTGGGGCAGTGTATGGGGTAAGGGTCTTCTTCATAGGCTGAAAAAAGACCCCTATTCTAGAACCAGGTGGCCTAGATACAGATCTTGACTCTGCCACCTACTGGCTAAGTGACCACAGGTAAGTTATGTTAACTCTCTGTACCTCAGTTTTCTCACCTGTAAAATGGGAATAATTAATCATAATACCTACCTGATGAGATGGTGTGTATAAAGTGCCTAGCTCCGGGTGCAGCACATGGTATATACTCAATAAATGTTAACTATCATAATTACCATTATGAACCACAACCTTTGTGTGGATCACAACAAACCGTGGAAAATTCTTAAAGAGATGGGAATACCAGACCACCTGACCTGCCTCCTGAGAAATCTGTATGCAGGTCAAGAAGCAACAGTTAGAACTAACTGGACATGGAACAACAGACTGGTTCCAAATTGGGAAAGGAGTACATCAAGGCTGTATATTGTCACCCTGCTTATTTAACTTATATGCAGAGTACATCATGAGAAATGCTGGACTGGATGAAGCACAAGCTGGGATCAAAATTGCTGGGAGAAATATCAACAACCTCAGATATGCAGATGACCCCACACTTATGGCAGAAAGTGAAGAAGAACTAAAGAGCCTCTTGATGAAAGTGAAAGAGGAGAGTGAAAAAGTTGGCTTAAAACTCAGCATTCAGAAAACTAAGATCATGGCATCTGGTCCCATCACTTCATGGCAAATAGATGGGGAAACAATGGAAACAGTGACAGCCTGGAAATCAATCCTGAATATTTATTGGAAGGACTGATGCTGAAGCTGAAACTCCAATACTTTGGCCACCTGCTTGGAAGAACTGACTTATTGGAAAAGACCCCGGTGCTGGGAGAGATTGAAGGCGGGAGGAGAAGGGGATGACAGAGGATAAGATGGTTGGATGGCATGACCGACTCAATGGACATGAGTCTGAGTAAACTCTGGGAGTTGGTGATGGACAGGGAAGCCTGGCGTGTTGCAGTCCCTGGGGTTGCAAAGAGTCGGACATGACTGAGCGACTGAACTGAACCAATATGAATGGTGTGTGGTTAGGAACAGGATAGGAGATTCCAGTAAGAGTCTAGAAGGAGAAATGGGCTGGGCAGGCCAGGGGCAGGAACAGGAAGGAAGAGATGAAGGTGGGCATGGTGAGAGCTCAAGGCCTGAGGTGTGGGAAGGCCAGATGGGTGGACAGGGAGGTGGGAAGGCTGGAGGGGAGGGAGGTGGGGCAGATGGAGGGACACGGGACCCAGCAACGGACACAAGGGGGCAGCTCCCCATCCACCAGGCGTACCTCTGCAGCGAGGACAGCAGCTCCCCTGCTCCGTGACCTGGAGCGGGCAGGACAGGGGCGGGCAGGGCTGCCGCACACAGCTGACCTGGCCGGCCTGCGGGAGAGGCACGCTCAGTGACTTGCTCCCGCCGCCCCCAGCCCCTCGGCCACCTCCCTGCCACACCTCACAGCGACACCGCTCACAGCTGCCTGCGGGCCCCTCAAACTCCTCCCCGCCCTGGTACTCCTGACCCGGAGAGAGGCAGCCTGTGGGCGACAAGGTCCCTGGGTGAGGCTGCGGGGCCGTCCCAGCTCAGGCCTGGCAGAGAGGGAGGGAGGAGGGGGCAGGCATGTGCGCAAATGGGGCAGAAGCAGGGTCCTGCAGGGGGGCGAGGGCAGAGAGCCGGAGGACACGGCTTCTTCCGGCAGCGCATGGAACCTTCCTGGGGGAGAGAGGCCGCCTGGCCACGTCCCGACTCCCGTGCATCACACCCTCAAACAGGGCTGCACACGGCCCCCCGTGGGGGTACCCGTACTGACCCCCGCCCCCGGGCCCGGGAGACCAGTCCTGGCCCCAGTGGACATCACAGGCAGAGTGTAGCCCGGGAGGAGGAACGCCCTTTTTTCTGGCCAGAAAGGAGGATCAGGGATGAAGGGTTCCCAAGCCCCCAGAGGGCCACCTCACCTGGCAGGTGCAGAGCGAGCAGGTGGGGTCTAGTGGGTCAGGAAGGGTCTCTCCAGGGGCAGCAGTGACCCCATGATAGAGGCATCCTGGCAGAAACGGGAATGCAGTGGAAGGGGCTGCAGTCAGTGAAGCCCTCCACCCACCCACCCACACATGCACACACACACACCGGGCCTGGGGTCCTCTACCAAAGCTTAGCTAACAGTCAGAAAGGGAGAGGTGAGTGGCTGGGAAGGGGAGGGATGGGAGGAAAGACTTCAGCCAGACCACGGTGGAGAGACTTGTGTGCGTGAAGCAGCGGGTACTGAGGGTGAGATCATAGACCACAGACCAGGGTGGGAGGAGGATATAAGGGAGGGGCACCTGGAAATGAAGGTGAGAGGTGGGTTGGGCTCGGGAGGGTGGATGAAGGAAGCCAGGAGGGAAGGAAGGTGCTGGGCGTGTTAGGCGACTCAAGGGCCGTGGAGTCACTGAATGTCTTCGAGCCTCGTGACATGTTTGAGGAAGGCAAGGAAACAACCGAAGGATGCGAAGATCTGGCCACACAGACCTTCTGCTTATTTGGTGAGTTCAACAGGCCGTGTGAGGTGCCAGCAGAGACCCAGAGGAGAGGAAGGGTCTCTCCAGGGGCAGCAGTGACCCCATGATAGAGGCATCCTGGCAGAAACGGGAATGCAGTGGAAGGGGCTGCAGTCAGTGGAGCCCTCCACCCACCCACCCACACACGCACACACACACACCGGGCCTGGGGTCCTCTACCAAAGCTTAGCTAAGAGTCAGAAAGGGAGAGGTGAGTGGCTGGGAAGGGGAGGGATGGGAGGAAAGACTTCGGCCAGACCACGGTGGAGAGACTTGTGTGTGTGAAGCAGGGGGTACTGAGGGTGAGATCATAGACCACAGACCAGGGTGGGAGGAGGATATGAGGGAGGGCCACCTGGAAATGAAGGTGAGAGGTGGGTTGGGCTCGGGAGGGTGGATGAAGGAAGCCAGGAGGGAAGGAAGGTGCTGGGTGTGTTAGGCGATTCAAGGGCCGTGGAGTCACTGAATGCCTTCGAGCCTCGTGACATGTTTGAGGAAGGCAAGGAAACAACCGAAGGATGCGAAGATCTGGCCACACAGACCTTCTGCTTATTTGGTGAGTTCAACAGGCCGTGTGAGGTGCCAGCAGAGACCCAGAGGAGGCCAAGTGTGGGGTGAGAAACCAGAGGAGACTCTCGGGTGTGGGCTGGCCATGAGGCCGTCTCAGGGGAGGGTGACAGTGACCAGACCCACTGACAGGGGCAGTGGAGGGCAGGTCTACCCTGGCAGGTCGGGCAGCAGTGCCCAGCTTGGGTGAGCGGGTGGCTGCAGCCCAGGGGCTCACAGGGCCGGCGGCCGCAGGTCACGAAGCCTCCGAGGCAGGTACACAGGTTGCAGGGCTCGTGGGGATCCGGGAACTCCTGGCCGCTCAGGTAGGACTCCCCCAGATACTCACAGCCTTCAAGAGAGGACAGGGAGGCCAAGGTGGAGGAGCAGAAATCAGACAGGAGACCGGTCATCTGGCTCTAAGCTTGGACCTGGCCTGAGCTCAAGGGCTCAAAGACCTGGGGGCAAAGGGCAGGGCTCAGTGCCGGCAGTAGGGAGCCACAGTGGGATGGATGAACTGGCCAAAGGACAGACTTTCTCCCCTTTGATCTGCAAAGAAGCCCCCTGTCCAGTCTATAGGGAAAATCCACCTAGAATTTAGCCCAGGACTTTTTTTCTTATAATAATAAATATATTTGACCCACACTAGGGCAATAAATTGGATGGCATCACCGACTCGATGGACATGAGTTTGAGAAAGCTCTGGGAGTTGGTGATGGACAGGCAAGTCTGGAGTGCTGCAGTCCATGGGGTCACAAAGAGTTGGACATGACTGAGTGACTGAACGGAGGGCACTAAAGGGGCTTCCCTCGTGGCTCAGATGGTAAAGAATCTGCCTGCAATGCAGGAGACCTGGGTTTGATCTCTGGGTTGGGAAGATCCCCTGGAGAAGGAAACGGCAACCCACTCCAGTATTCTTGCCTGGAAAATCCCATGGACAGAGAAGCCTGGCAGGCTACAATCCATGGGGTCACAAAGAGTCGGACACGACTGAAACGACTTCGCACGCACGCTGGGCAGTCAAGAAGACTTTGACCCTGTCCTCCCAGCCCGCCCCCCAGTCCCTGCCCCTCACCGTCACAGGCAGGGCAGCAGTCACCCTGGGCAGGGAAGGGGCACTGTGCAGGTGCACAGGCCCTGGGCTCACAGCTGACACTGCCCTCCCAGCAGAGGCAGACGTGACAGCCGGCAGTGGGCGAAGGGAAGCGCTCCCCGCTGGCGAACTCCTTCCCCTGGTACAGGCAGCCTAGGGGCGCAGAAGAGGGGCTGGGGGCTCGTGGAGTACCAGGCGCATTACCAGGGCATGCTGCCCTCCCAGCCCTAAAGGCCAAGCCATCCCGGAGACCACCCTCCATCCTGCTGAGTACCAGGCACATTACCTCCCAGGCCCTGTGGATCAGGTGGGCACTGTTTCCCCACTTTCTTAGTGAGAACCTCGACATGGGAGGGGCGGGCCAGGAGGAAGTGGGGAGAGGAGGTGGCGCCCTCCTGGAGACAAAGAGGGGTGTGGAGGAAGAGGGGCACCAAGAGTGGGGTGGAGTTAGAAGAAGGGGGGACAGGGTAGGGAGGGGGACAGCCAGGGCATTACCGTCACAGGAGGGGCAGCAGAGCCCCTGGCGCGGGTGGGTGCAGGGCGCGGGCGGGCAGGGCAGTCGCTGGCAGGACACCGAGCCGTCCAGGCAGAGGCAGCGGCGGCAGGGGTCATCGGGTGGGGAGAAGTGCTCCTGGTGACGGGCGGGGACCAAGCCCCCCGGCCGAGGGCAGCCGGAGGGGGCGGCTGCGGGGGAGAGCCTCCATCAGCGGGGCTGGGGACAGGCTGCGGAGGGGATCCACCCTGGAGAGGCGGCGAGGGGCACAGCTCCTACCTGGGCACTGTGGGCAGCACTCTCCAGGCAGCAGGACTGGCTCTGGGCAGGACAGGGGCGGGCAGCGGTGCGCCAGGCACTGCACATTGCCTCCCTGCAGATGGACCAGGCCAGGGCAAGTTAGCCATAGGAGGTGGAGGAGACCCCATGCCTTCCCACCCTGACCTTGGCTGACCTCGGCTGACCTCTCCTGGTCTCCCCAAGCCCTGTCCTCCCTCCCCGGACTCCTCCTCCCATCCACACTAGACTCACCAAACAGTGACACAGCCGGCAGGGGTCAGAGGGGTGGGGGAAGTCAGCCCCGTTGGGGTACTCTTTCCCTCCAAAGGCACAACCTGGAGGAGAGGGCAGCTAGAGGCCCGGGAGAGGCCTTTCTCCCTCCAGGGCATGCGGCCTTCCCCAGCCCTAAAGGCCAAGCCGTCACAGAGACCACCCCCCATCCTGCTCGCCTCACCATTGCAGTTGTTCTGGCAACAGACACTAGGCAGCGGGTGGGCACAGGCGGTCCGGGGGCAGACCCGGGGTTGGCAGCGAGCATGGCCTTCCTGGCACTGGCATTCCTGGCACGGGTCTCGGGGGTGTGAGAAGCGCTCACCATCCACAAACACCTGTTTCTCCAGGACGCAGTCTGCACAGTGGGGTGGGGGTGGGCAGGACGGGGGCACAGAGACAGTGCAAGGAGCAGGCCAATAGCCCCTCCAGCCTTGAGTCCAGAGCCACTGTGGAAGTGCCACTTGGAAGCTGTCCGCATGGAGGGAGAGGAGGAGGAGGGGTTGCATACACACGCAAGGGTATCTCTCCGAGCACACGCCTATGTGTGTATGTGTGTAGTCTCTTTACCTGCAGGCAGATATGTGTGCCTCTGAGGGTGAAGAGCTGAAGGGCTTGTGCACGTGCCTGCCTGTATTTGTGATTCTCGCCCTACACACTCTCCATGTGGGCAGGGATCAGAGCACATCACATCCCAGCTCCCAGCCTAAGGTATAGAAAACTTGAACACTTGTCATCTGAATCAGTCTTGTACAAGTAGATACACGGGGGGATCCAGGTGTGTGGGCAGTGGAAGAGGAAGTATAAGATGGGAGAGAAGGGTGGGTTTAGTAACAGGAAGGGACAAACAGATGTCTACCGCGTCTCCCACCCATGCTCTGTGAGTTCAAGAGAGTTCCAAGCTATGTCAGACTGAAGACAATTCAGAAGGCCATTGCTGTTTAAAGTTAGGGTTAGGCCCCAGGGGGGGCTTCCCTGATAGCTCAGTTGGTAAAGAATCTGCCTGCAATGCAGGAGACCCTGGTTTGATTCCTGAGTCAGGAAGATCTTCTGGAGAAGGGATAGGCTACCCACTCCAGTATTCTTGGGCTTCCCTTGCGGCTCAGCTGGTAAAGAATCCATCTGCAGTACTGGAGACCTGGGTTCAATCCTTGGGTTGGGAAGAGCTCCTGGAGAAGGGAAAGGCTACCCACTCCAGTATTCTGGCCTGGGGAATTCCATGGACTGTAGAGTCCATGTAGTAGCAAAGAGCTGGACACGACTGAGCGACTTTCACTTTCACTAAGGACCCAAGGGGCCGTGGAGTGTTAGAGCCAAGGGCCTCCTGAGCCACACAGGAGCAGTAAGTACATACCGGGGCACCTGGGGCAGCACTGGCCGGGTCCACTCTGAGGCCTGGCACAGGTTGTGGGAGGGCAGTTGACCAAGGAGCACGTCACGGTCCCATCCTGGAAGCAGGTGAGAGGGCAATGGTGGTGGGTCCCGGGAGGGGCTGAGCCGGGCAGTGGAAAGCCTGGGGAGGTACCTCGCAGCGGCAGGTGTGGCAAGGGTCTGCATCTGTGAAGTTCTGCCCGTTGGCGTACACTTGGCCGTGGTAAGTGCAGCCCTCACAGCTGGGGCAGCAGGCACCTGGGCAAGGCAGGTGGGTCAGAGTCCTACCCATCAAGGTGAACTGGTCAAGGCACGGGGGAGAAAGCTAGCTCGGGACAGGGCACTCACCCGGGGGCTGGGTGGGGTGCTGGCACGGGGCTGGGGAGCAGAGCAAAGTCCCACACACAGGCACCCCAGCTTGACAGGAGCAGGTCGTGCAGGGCTGGCCATCAGGCTCCCACTGGACACCCTCAGCAAACTCCTCTCCATCAAGCACGCAGACTACAGCAGTGTGAGGTGGGGAATGGCTGTCACCATGGCAACCCAGGCACCTCCATCCATCCCTGTCCTTCCCAGACCACCCAGGATCCTTCCCAGGATCCGAGCTTCACCATCCTCACAGCAGCCTCTGAACCCACTCTGGAATGGCTGGTGGACTTAGGGATGCGCCCCCCACCTACTGTGAAGGAACACTCCTGGTCACTGCAAGCAGCACCCTTTCATGGTTGTCTGCCCCCCGTCCCCCAGTACACACACCTGAGCAGAGCTGGGGGCCAGAGTCAGGCAGGGTGCAGGGCGTGCCTGGGCACTCATGCTCCTCGCAGAAGACCTCGCCAGCCTAGGAGGGAGGCTGGGTGAGAGGCCCTGAGGGGACAAGACAGACCTGGGATGTGAGACAGCAGGACTGCCTACCTGGCAGGAGCAGCGGACACAGCGGCCACTCTCTTGGAGCTGGAAGGTTTCCTGGTTCTGATACTGGTGTCCCTGGTACTCACAGCCTGGACAGGACGACAGAGGGGCAGGGGGACAGGGCTGGGGGCTGATGGGGAAGCCTCACCACACCCGAGACCTCCACCCTGCATCTGATAGGACAGTCACACATGTTCTCCAGGAAGCCCTGCCTGCCAGCCTCCGCTGGCCCCCAGGTGCCCAGCATGCCATGAGGTGAGGGGAGAACTTGTCCCTCACCCGTGGTGACAGAGCTTAGGTTGGTTCAAGGGGGGCTTGAACCAAGGGGGCTACCAAGGGGGCTTCTGTAGGTTCAGTGGAGGCAACCACCCCCATCTCCAGACCCAGAGCCTCTCCTGGGGCAGCGGCTAGCCCCCCCCCAGGTGACTGGAGCCCTCACTCACTGTCACAGACAGGGCAGCACTCCCCCGGGGTCCTGCCTGGGTGTCTGCAGGGCGTGGGTGGGCAGGGCAGAGGCTCACACTGGACACTCCCGTTCTGCCAACAGGGCCTGGTCAGCATGCGAGAGGCAGGCCCAGATGCCAGGCCCTCCCTGCCGGGCAGCCACACTCACGGCACAACGGCAGTGCGAGCAGGGGTCCCCCGAGCCCACAGGCTCCCCGCTGCGGTAGTCCCGCCCGTTTAGGAAACAGCCTGTTGGGAAGACGGTGCCTCAGACCCTCCTCAGGGCCGCATGCCAGTCAGTGTCCTGGTCTTCTCAGGAAGCCCATGATCCGCTTTCTGATCCCCCTACCACTTGCTGACTCACCATCACACACAGGGCAGCAGGTGCCCGGGAGGGGCCGGGCAGGGTATGGGCAGAGACTGGCACATTCTCGCTGGCGGCACTGGATGTGGCCCTCCTGTGGGGTCAGAGGAAGGGGCCATGAGAGCGCAGCCAGGTAGCAGAAACAGCCTTCAAGTCCCAGCTATCCATTTACTAGATGTTGTTATGAGCAAATTGTGTCCCCCTTCATATTCTTGTGTTGCAGTCCTAACCCCCTCAGAATGTGATCTTATTTGGAAATAGAGTCATAGCAGATGTAATCACATAAGATGAGGTGAGACTGGAAGGGGGTGGCCCCTGATCCAGTGACTGGTGTCCTCTTAAAAAGGGGAAATTTGGACACAGATACACACAGGGAGAACAGCATGTGGAGACGAAGGCAGAAGCCATGGGATGCCAAGGATTGCCAGCCAGCCACCAGAGCTGGAGAGGGGCCTGGAACAGTCTCCCTGACAGTTTTCAGTCAGAACCAACCCTGCCAGCACCTCGATCTTGGACTTCTGCCTCCAGAACCATGAGAGGACCAATTTATGTTGTTTAAGCTATTCTGTTTGTGGCACTTTGTTACTGCAGCCCTAGAAACAAATACAGATGGATAACCTGGTGTGTCACCTAAAGTTCTCTGTGACTCCGTTTACTCATCTGGAAAAACAGAGAATGATCCTATCTGCAGGAAGAGAGACGCAGACGTAGAGAACGGACCTACAGCACGGGGTGGGGGAGGGGAGGATGGCATGAGCTGGGAGAGTAGCACTGAGATGTATACACTACCACGTGTAAATAGCTAGCTGGTGGGAAGCTGCTGCAATAGCGTAGGGAGCTCAGCTCAGTGCTCTGTGATGACCTAGGGGGGTGGGGTGGGGCTGAGGGGTGGGAAAGAGGCTCAGGAGGGAGGCAATATGTATATACGTATAACTGATTCTAGTCTAGTCAAAGTTATGGTTTTTCCAGTGGTCATGTATGGATGTGAGAGTTGGACCATAAGGAAACTTAAGCCCTGAAGAATCAATGCTTTTGAACTGTGGTGTTGGAAAAGACTCTTGAGAGCCCCTTGGACTGCAAGGAGATCCAACCAGTCCATCCTAAAGGAAATCAGTCTTGAATATTCATTGAAAGGACTGATGCTGAAGCTGAAACTCCAATACTTTGGCCACCTGATGGGAAGAACTGACTAATTGGAAAAGACCCTGATGCTGGGAAAGATTGAAGGCAGGAGGAGAAGAGGATGACAGAGGATGAGATTTTGGATGGCATGACCGACTCGATGGACATGAGTAAGCTCCAGGAGTTGGTGATGGACAGGAAAGCCTGGCTTGCTGTAGTCCATGGGGTCGCAAAGAGTTGGACATGACTGAGTGACTGAACTGATAGCTGATTCACTTTGTTGTATGACAGAAACCAACACAACGTTGTAAAGCAATTAACTCCAATGCGGAACTTTTTAAAATAGTAAAATAAAAAAAACTTTTAAAGAGACAATAATAGTCCTGCCTCATGTCCTTGAATGGGGATAAGATAGATGTGTGGTGAGGCATCCACCTCTGGAAGCTGACACTTAATAAACTCTTAGCTGCTACAACTCCCCATGGTCTTTCCCAGACAGACCCAGTCCCTGGAGTTCACATCTATACCTGAGCTTGCTACCTCCAGCCCCATAAGTGTCTGGGCAGCCAGTGACTCTCTCACAGGTGGGGTGGGGATGTGGGGCATCAGTGTGAACAGAGAGGGGAAGCACATGGTAACAAGGGGTGGGTGCACTCTGGCCTTCACAGTGGAGTCCTTCGTCCTTGGTGAGCTGTCAGGAAGCTCTGTGGCTCTGGCTTCAGCCCTCTGAATCACAGCCCTCCTTGGCATGTACCCTGCCTGGACGTTAGGCCTTCGTGTCCCTGCCTTTCTCCCCAAGGCTTTGCCCTGACTCTTCCCTATATCTGGTGTCTTAGTCCATTCAGGCTGCTGTAATAAAAATCCTGTAGTTTGGGTGGCTTATAAACAACAAAAATTTTAGTTCTCACTGTTTGGGAGGACAGGGAGTTAAAAATAAAGGTGCTAGGAGTTCCAGTGTCTGGTGAGAGGCCTTTCTGCTTTAAGCACGAATGCCTGCGAAGTTGCTTCTGTCATGTACAACTCTTAGAGATGCTACGGACTGCAGCTTATCAGGCTCCTCTGTCCATGGGCTTCTCCAGGCAAGAATACTGGAGTGGGTTGCCACGCCCTCCTCCAGGGGTATTCCCAGTCCTGCTTCATAGATGGCTGTCTTCTTGCTTGTGTCCCCCACATGGTGAAAGGGGCAAGACAGCTCTCTGGAGTCTTTTTTTTTAATTTTTGGCTGCACTTGCTGTGCTCCATGGCACACACAATCTTAGTTCCCCGACCAGGGATCAAACCTGTGCCCCATGCAGTGGAAGTGCGGAGTCAACCACAGGACCACCAGGGAAATCCCTCTGGGGTCTTTTTTTTTTTTTTTAATAAAGGCACTAATCCCATTCATTACTTTGCCAACAAAAGTCCGTCTAGTCAAAGCTATGGTTTTTCCAGTAGTCATGTATGAATGTGAGAGTTGGACCATAAAGAAGGCTGAGCACTGAAGAATTGACGCTTTTGAACTGTGGTGTTGGAGAAGACTCTTGAGAGTCCCTTGGACTGCAAGGAGATCTAACCAGTCCATCCTAAAGGAGATCAGTCTTGAATATTCATTGGAAGGACTGATGCTGAAGCTGAAGCTCCAGTATTTTGGCCACCTGATGTGAAGAGCCGACTCTTTAGAAAAGACCCTGATGTTGGGAAAGATTGGAGACAGGAGAAGAAGGGGATGACAGAGGACAAAATGGTTGGATGGCATCATCGACTCGATGGACATGAGTTAGAGCAAGCTCTGGGATATGGTGATGGACGGGGAAGCCTGGTGTGCTGCGGTGCACGGGGTCACAGAGAGTCAGACAAGACTGAGCAACTGAACAACAACAAAATCCCATTCATGAAGGCTCTACCCTCTAGACCTAATCACCGCCCAAAGGCCCCACCTCCTAATACCATCATTTAGGGGTTAGAATTTCCACATATGAATTTAAGGGGGCACACAGATAGTCAGTCTATAGCACCTGGAGTGTCCTCCCATTCCTCCCTGCTCAAATCTTACTCACTCATTCAGACCTAAGTAAACACCACCCCACTCCGAAGTTTTTCTAGAAATGAGCTGCCCAATAGAAATATAACACCAACCACATATGTCATTTAAAATTCCCTGGTAGTCAAAATTCAAAAAGAAAAAGAATCAGATGGAACTAAATGTTAACATTATATTCCACTCAAACCAATATATCCAAAAAGTTATTTCAACATGTAATTAACGTGAAGTGTTAATAAGACATTTTATGTTCCTTCCTCTCGTAATACGTCTTTGAAATCCAGTGCAGAGTCTACCCTTAAAGCCCGTTTCAAATGGTACGGTCATGTTTCGAGGGCTCAGTGTCCACATGGAGTGGCTCCCGCTCAGACAGCAAGCTCCGGACGTCTCAGGCGACCTGTGTTTCTCCCTCCCTGGAGCTTGTGCCCCCGTCACATCCTGCCTGCCCAGCCTCCCTCCTCCTGTAACCTGAAGCGCCTTGGTTTGGGTTCACAAACATGCTGCCCACCTACTGTGCTTGGAACTGGACATACAGGGCGCGACCCCTTCCCCAACCTCAGGCCTCCAGAATTAGGTCTCCTCCATCTCTTGTCCCTCACGGTGCCTTCTGGGATGTGTTCAGTGGAGTGAAGGGATGAATCTGGGTGACCTGGGGTCGGGGAATGGTGGGGGCAACACGGGAGCAGCATGGGGACTCACCAGGCACTGGCAGATCCGGCAGGGGTCCCCAGGGGTGGTCCACTCTTGGCCATGCTCCCAGTGAGAACCATCTTCTGTGCAGCCTTGAGCTAGGGGAGACAGGCAGAAAGGAGGCCTGGTGGAAATTTCAGCCAGACCCTCCCTCCTCCACTTGCTCTCTGAGGGTCCTCTTCAGAGCCTAAACCCCACCAGAGCCTGCCTCTGCCTGGACCCCTCGCCCCAGCTCTCCAGCACCCCAGGCAGGGTCAAGCCCAAGCTCCTTAACCTGACTTTCCAAGTCTTCCAGGGCCAGCATGGCCACGCCCACCTGCCTCTGGCCCCTCCCCACCTCTCAGTGTAAGCCACGCCCACCAGCCTGCACCTTCCCAATCAACACACGCCCACCTCACATGGAGTATCAGTCCCAACCTGCCCTCTCTTCCTGGCATGCCCTCTGCCCTTCACCTAAAGAACTGCTCTTTAGCCCTGAGGTTCAGTTAGGACCCACCACCCCCAGGACGCCCTCCCTTCTGTGCCCAGGTTGGACTAGGTCTCCACTAGGTCTCCTTCCTCTGAGTTTCCGTAGTATCTGTAATCTAATCCCACTTTTGCAATAATCCTGGTTTGTGACTCAGTGTCGCCTTCTAGTGGTCTGCCTCGAGGGTCCACCGGGTGTTTTTGCACAAAGCAGGTAATAGTCAATGTTTATTGAGGTATACAGTATCATTATCCCCCTCTTACAAACGGGGGACTGAGGCACGGAGTAACTCCCTCGGAGGCACACAAGCACTAGTGTCAAGGGCAGAACTTGGACCAGGTGTGGTCAGGCGTGGCTCCCCCGCTGACGGAACCCCCAGGTCAGGGGTCTGCAGAGTGGGCTCTGGGTTGACAAAACGGCCTAACAGCCCCTGACAGGCGTGGAGCTTCACCAGGGAAGGGGCAGGGGCTCTCACCTTGGCAGGTCGGGCAGCAGTGCCCAGGCCTCAGAACTGGCTTGGGGCAGGGGATGGGCGGGCACTTCATGGGCACGCAGCGAACCAGGCTCCTCTGTAACACACCCACAGCTGTGCTGCCTCCGGCTCTGGCTCCCAGAGAGAGCACAGGGAGCCACAGGGGCCACAGGGCGGGGCTGGAGGGAGGATCTCTCTGGCACCAGGCCTCAGGAGGTATTCGAGGGGCTGAAAGAGTGGCAGGTGCGGGCCGGGGCAGGCGCGGGCATCCCAGGAGGAGCAGGGCCTGGGCAAAGGTGTGGGGGACTCACCAGGCAGGAGCACTGGAGACAAGGATTGGAGTTGGACAGGAAGTTGGCCCCTTCCTCGTAAAGCTGCCCCTCATACTCACAGCCTGGGGAGGATTGCCAGAAAGACGGGCCGGTCAGCAGAGAGCAAGGTAGGTGGCCATCACCCAGGGGAAGGCATGACCCCAAGTAGGTACGGAACCCTCTGGGGCTGAGATCGGGGTGTGGGGCGGGATGGGCAGGAAAGAGGCAGGTCACCTGGCCGGCAGACGGGGCAGCACTCCCCAGGTGGGGTGTAGCTCTCCAGGCAGTTCAGCTCTGAGCATGAGGGCCCTTGGCACCGCACTGTCCCTGCCTGCGGGACAGACTCTGAGCCCTCCTTCCTTCTCCACTGCCCTAGCCAAGTGGAGGCCTAGACAGCTCCAGGGCTCAGTGCCAGGGTGGCAGCAGCAGCCCTGCCTGGCCCCCAGATCAGGCTTGGCACTGCCAGGCCTGGGGTATGCTGGACAGCAGGGACGTAGGTGGTAGCTGGGCCAGGCGCTGATTCCCTTACCTGGCAGGTGCAGATAACACAGCGCTCCAATTGCCACGTTTCCCCATCCCTGTGGCCTCCAGGGCAGCCTGCAAAACCATGGCCAGTCCCCCAAGTAAAGGACCCAGAGAATTGGGGCAAAAGACAAGGACACCACATCAAAGGGGCACTGTTCAGGTGAGAATCAGATTTGTATATTTACTACAACATTTCAGCAGATGGCAGTGTAGTGTCTGACTCTAATATCAGTAGGTCCATGATTTTACACACGGAAGCAGTGAGGCAAGAGTGACTTTTTTTTTAAATTTCACCAAAGATATCATCAGTTCAGTTCAGTCAGTCAGTCGTGTCTGACTCTTTGCAACCTCATAGACTGCAGCACACCAGGCCTCCCTGTCCATCACCAACTCCTAGAGTTTACTCAAACTCATGTCCATTGAGTTGGTGATGCCATCCAACTATCTTGTCGTCCCCTTTTCCTTCTGCCTTCAATCTTTTCCAGCATCAGGGTCTTTTCAAATGAGTCAACTCTCTAAGACATCATATGGGCTAGAAATGGCCCTGAGGCATCATTTATCTTACAAGTTATGTGTGTGTACGTGCACGCGCATGTGTGTGTGTCTCTGTGTGTGTCCCTTTTCGCTGAGATCCAATGACTCCAAGGACATTACTCTTCATCTCATCTTGGCCAAAACTCTCAGGCTACATTGCCAGACCTCAACCAGTGCCTGGGCCCCTGTCCCACCTTTCAAACTACCAGCTACCATTCTTCCTGTGGTACAGTTGTCAGATAAAATATAGGACACCCAGTTAAATGGGAATTTCAGATGAACAATGCATAATTTTTTTAGTATAAGTATACCTCAAATATTGTACCAGACATACTTAAAAAATATGTATTATTTATCTAAAATTCAAATATAACAGGGCATCCTGTTTTTATTTGCTGAACTTGGAAACCTTATCTTCCTATGAGCTAGTAACACTTCCCAGCAGTCACTGCCTCCACTTCCGCCCAGCTCTCTTCATGTGACTGGCCCACGGCCTTCCTTGTCTCCTAAGCTTGGAGTCCACTGTTCCATGGGATACAACCATGTTCCTTAGAAACAACCCTCCTTCTGCAGCCCACTGTCATCCCTGGCTCCGTGCCCAGACCACTGGGCATGCCATAACCCCCCACCTGGTCTTCCTGCATCTAGCCCATACCAGATGAATATTCCAAAAATGCCTCTTGGAACACGCCACACGCCAGCTCTGCAGCCTTCAACGGCTCCCATTGTCCACAGAAGAAAGTCCAAACTGCAAGGCTTGTAGCAGCCTGTTCCCACTGGCTTTCCCAGGCTGATTTGCTGTGACACACGTCTCCGCATTCTGGTGCACAGAGGACCCTCTTTCTGAGGAAACCCCACTCTTCCTCGAAGACCCAGCTTGGATGACCCGTTGTCCATGGAGCCCTCCCTGCTTTCCTGCCCTCTCCTCTGGCAACCAGCCTCTTACTACCTTTCTCTGCTTCCTCTTAATCTGTTCACTGGCTCTTAAACCTTGTATTACACTAGCTATATAAATTCATCTTCTCACTAGATTAGAAGCTCCAGGAGGGAAGGGAGAAGATCATGTCAAGCCTTTGGCTCAGTCCCTGGCCAGAGGCAGCATTTGCTGACGTGCACTTTGCTTTCAAACTCCCTAAACTGGAGCAAGTGGGCAGGCACCCTCTGGGCACCTGGTGGGGGGCAGGCCAGGCTTGGGGGCCCCAGAACCAGTGTGGAAGGTGGGGCTGGGGCGGACAGGAAGCTAAGCAAGCTCACAGTGTGGGCAGCACGCTCCCGGCTCTGGGCAGGGTCCTCTTGGGCATGGCTTCTGGGTGCAAGTTACAGCACCGTCCTGTGGGGAAGCAGGTGATGGAACTCTGGAGGGTGGTGCTCCAGAACTGAAACCTCCCCCTAAGCTGGGACCCACTGGAGGAGCAAGAGACTGAGCGGGCTCAGAGTCTGCAGGCTACCTTTGGCCCAAGGGCAGAAATGGGACGTCCTTCCCTGCCCCACCCCATCATCTCCTGCCACTCTCAACCCTCAGAAACCAGTGCTTTCAAGAGCCAGCCACATCTCCAGAGTGGGGAGATCCTGGGAAGGGAACCGAGAGCTTCCTCAATGGAGGGGTGAAGAAGGGAAGGCTGGAGGAAGGTGAGCCAAGTGAGGGAGAAGAGGCAGGTAGATGACAGGGACAGATGCATGAGTGGGGGACACTGAGGGTGCACAGGTGAGGAGCGGGTACAGGAGGACAGGAACCCCTCTATGTGTGTTGTGGGGGTTGAGCTCCAGAAAGCACAACAATTCCGAATCAACTGAAGGCTGCCAGAGGCAAGGCTTGGGGGGAGGGCAGGTAGACACCCTCTTCTAAACATTCTGCACACCAGCTGCAGCGACAGGCAGGTGAGGTGAGGGGGATGGGGTGGGGTATTCCGGGGGTCCACGAGAACTCACCAGGCAGCGGCAGGTGGTGCAGGCATCTGGGGTGAAGGTCTCCCCATTGCCATAGGCCTGACCATTGTGGCTGCAGCCTAGGGAGGACATGGTGCTCTCACTCAGGGCCATCTCCAGGCCCCAGGGTGGTACCCACGGACAGGCGGATGGCACTCACCATGGCAGTGGGGCGGGCCGGGTTTGGGGACACAGTTTGCAGCCCCATCCTGGCAGACACAGACTGTGCAGGAATCTGGCTCCCAGCGAGCCCCCTCGGGCCAGGCCCGGCCCAAGCCCCAACACTGGGGGGAAGCCGGGTGGCACTCACAGGACTCCAGCTGCGTCACCCTGCCCTGCAGATCCTTGTTCTGGGGAAGGGGGGGTAGGAGGCACTGGTTCAGCCTCCCCCACTGTCTCCCGCAGGGTATGAAAGCCAGGGCAGGAGGAGAAGGAAGAGCAGAGATGGGCCCACCTCCGGGCAGCATCCCGCTCAGACAGCACCAGCTCTCACAGCCTGGGGTCTGGACAGGCTCCCGGAGGAACATGGGCCCCCAGTCCTCTTCGTTAGACCAAAGGGGGCCCAGTCCCCATTACCCAACAGTTAAAGACCTTTATCCATCCAAAATCTTCCCCGACGATGTCTTATATGAAGTAGGTACTCCGTAATGTTCACCAAATAAGTGAAAGAACATGAAAATCTGGTTGACAAATACCTGGAGGTCCTTCTCTTGTAAGAAAGAACCGATGTTAACTGTTCAGAGAAGAGCCTTTCTATGTTTATTTAAAACAAAACTCCATTTCTGGGTCCCACAGGCTCCCCTTCCCTCCTTTCTTCCCACTACACCAGGCCTGCCCTGCCCCTTGCACACCCACCGCCTTCAATGTTACCTGTTCTCTGAGCTCCGTGACCTCAGCCTCCAGCCTTTCCAGCCGCTCCTCCAGGGGGCGCCACCGTTCCTCGGGGGGCCCAGCAGGGGCTGAGGAGTGGGCTGGCCCCTCTGACTGGTAGTCGTGGACGTCAGCAAGGCCAAGGGGCTCCCTTGAGATGGCCCCACCTGAAGGCACAAAAATCCAGGGGGGGGCTATGGGTAAGGGGCTATCAAGGCTTCCTGGGTTAGTCTTCCCAATGATATCCGTCCTATACCCCACCCTTGTCCACCTGCCAAACCCACCATCCTGGGAAGGAGAGATGGTCTGTGAGGGGCTGGAGTGAAAGCCAGGAGGAGGAGGGTGCCCTGGGTGGACAAAAGTGACCCAGACCAGTTTTCCCAAGTAAAGCTATGAAAAACCTAGACAGCGTATTAAAAACAAAGGCATCAGGACATGGAAGCAACCTAGATGCCCATCAGCAGACGAATGGATGAGGAAGCTGTGGTACATACACACCATGGAATATTACTCAGCCATTAAAAAGAATTCATTTGAATCAGTTCTAATGAGATGGATGAAACTGGAGCCCAAAATAAATGGAAAAAAAATAATAAATAAATAAATACATAAAACAAAGGCATCACTTTGCTAAAAAAATAGTCTGTATAGCCAAAGTTATGGTTTTCCTAGTAGCTGTGTATGGATGTGAGAGCTGGACAATAAAGAAGGCTAAGCACCGAAGAATCCGTGTTTTTGAAATGTGAGGCTGGGAAAACTCTTGAGAGTCCCTTGGACAGCAAGGAGATCAAAACAGTCAATCCTAAAGGAAATCAACCCTGAATATTCACTGGAAAAACTGATGCTGAAGCTAAGTTCCAATAATTTGGCCACCTGATGAGAAGAGGCGACTCATTGGAAAAGACACTGATGCTGGGAAAGATTGAAAGCAAAAGGAGCAGAGGGTGGCAGAGCATGAGATGGTTGGATGGCATCACCAACTCAATGGACGTGAGTCTGAGCAAATTCTGGGAGATAGTGAAGGACAGGGAAGCCTGGTGTACTGCAGTCCATGGGGTATCAAAGAGTCAGACACAACTTACTGACTGAACAACAGTAATAAGAACCTCAGGCAGGTATAAGCCCCAGGGATCCCAGCTCACTGGGAGCTTGGGGGAGGATATAGACCAGGTTTCCCTGTAGCCTGCTCTGACTCTGCAGGGGTCCCCAGCCACAGGGGACATGCCAGGGTCATCCAGCCTCATTCACACCAGGGTCTTGGCCAGGGATGGCTTGGGGAACTGACATGTCATGCTGGAAGGGCCCACAAGTCAGCACAGTCAGCAAGAGAGGGAGACAAATCATTGAAAGATGGGTCTGCTTTCAGGCACCTGGGGTCTGTGAGCAAACCCCACCTCCATCTGCACGGTTTCACCTTCAGAAAGGACACCGCTTCTGGGCACAGTGATGGGCATCTCTTCCCCGTGCTGCCATGCCCAAGCCTTGCCACTCTTTTCCAGGCATGTGGCAGAGCAGCCTAGCGGCCCACACTGGGCAGAATGGGCTCCAGAAAGCAGGATGTAGCTGCATTTCTTGAAGGGTTTGGGGAAAGTGCTGGCAGGGCCCCTACTAGCTTTCAAAGCTCCATTGGAATGAAGACAGCCTGTCCTGCGTTCTAGATGACACTGGGTCCTCGGAGAGGCTGGGGAAGGCCACTTTCGCCTCACTTTGATCTCTATTCCGAAGTCAGGAAAATAAAGACTATGTGGATGGGGATCATCTGACTCCAGGCTTGGTTCCCAAACATCATCCCTCCTCTGGGTGAGGTGGGCAGGGGAGCAGAGGGTCTGGAGCAGGAGGGGGGTGAGGAGGAAGGGGAGGAGGGAGAGGGAAGAGTCCTTCCGCAGAGGCGTCTCATCAGTGAGGCTGGCCTGGGCGGCTGAAAGGGTTTCTGGTGAACACTAGTCCAGTGAAGCAAGGGCACAATGTCACTCACTCCCCAGCCCCCTGACTGCCTCCGCCAAAGTGGGTTGGAGATTCTAGTCCAAAACCTAAACTGCCTCCTTTTGTCCAAACCTACTTTGTCCTGAGTTCCTTAGCTTGATTAAAGTCACCCTTGTGGTATGTGCTAAGTTGCTTTGGTCGTGCCCGACTTTGTGACCCCATGGACTGTAGCCCACCAGGTTCCTCTGTCCATGGGATTCTCCAGGCAAGAACACTGGAGTGGGTTGCCATTTCTTCCTCCAGGAGATCTTCCCGACCCAGGGACTGAACCTGCATCTCTTAGGTCTCCTGCATTGGCAGGCAGGTTCCTTACCATGAGTGCCACCTGGGAAGCTAGGTGCCACCCCCACCTACCTAGAAATCTGGGGCTCAGCTGCCCTCTTGGTACCCCTCCCAAGCCCCATCAGTTTCTGGTCTCAGCCGGTTATCCCCCTACCCCATCTCCCCAGCTCTGCTCCTCTCCCTTCTATCTCCACTCTGGAGGCTGAAGTCTCCCTGCCTCCAGCTGCTCCTCTCCTCCTGGCAGTCGCTTTAAATCCTACATCTGAAGGTGCCCAGCAGCAAGTCCAAATGTGACCTTTCCCAAGTGCCATCATCTTTTCAGCCCACTCTCTTACCCCCCGACACCCACACCTTGGGCAGGGTGTCGTCACTTGGAATGGCTCTCTGTCCTGGTGTGGTACCTAGCTCCCTTCCCAGCCCCATGAAGGGTGGCCAAGGGTGGGGTCCTGGTATCTTATACCCTCCACCCCAGCTCTACACCCCATGCCCCATGATTTCTCCTTTCAGGCCACTGCCTGCCCCCAGGCCTGCTTAAGCAAACACGGTCGGGAGAACTTGGGGTCCTCTGGGACTCTCAGGGAAGATCTGGCCAGCCCTTCACTTGGAGAGACCTGCAGAGAAGAGCTCCTGGTTGTTGTGCAAAGCCTGATTGCTCACAATGGAACTGTCCTCAGCTCCCCTCCCTTCCCCACCCCCCCACACAACACAATCCTCACACTGACCCCTCTATTCCTGCCGGTCCTTCTGGAGGAAAGCCAGACACAGACACTCAAAGCCAGTTCCCATGGCAGACCTTTTTTTCCTGTTCTCAAGACAAATAATTAACTTCAGACTCCCAGATTCCAGGGCAGCCTCTCCCCCACGGCTGCCTGCAGGAATTCCTCCCGAGGCCAGAGCAGGAAGCCCCCTCCTGCTCCGGGACCCCAGAACCCCATGCCATAGCCTCCATCCTGCCGCCACCACGCTGGCTCCTCCACCGACGGGGAGGACTCAGGCTGGCGGGAGAGGCGAACACACCCCAAGGCAGGGCCCCGGGAGGCAGCCCTCCTCCCGGCCCAGCTGTTCGCTCAGACTGGGCTGAGCAAGAGGTAAGGTCCCACCTGGCTGCCCCCAAACCCTCAGCACCCCAACTTACCTCTGCTGGTCCCCTGGGCCAGTGTCCGGCTCGTGAGCTGCAGAATGAGGGACAGCAGGACGGCCGCGGCCCTGGCCATGCTCGCCCCGCCTTGCTAACTGTGGTCTTGGCTCAGCACGCACTGGGAGGGGGGGTGGGGACACATCAGGCCGCCTCCCACCCAGCCTTTGTTCAGGGAGGGCTTCTGGTGTCTGTCATCCGGGCCTGTGGCGCCTGCCTCCCTGCTGGCACCTCCACCCCGGGCCCCCAGGCCCCATCCTGACCCTAGCCTTGGCTCAGAGGTGCAAGAGAGTGCCTGGGGGGGCCAGAAGCTGGAAGCAAGTGGGGGTGACTTCTCCTGCATAGGGTCCAGGAGCCAGCCCTAAAAAAAAAAAAAAAAACGCACAAATTCTTCACTCTCGGGCTCTGGGACCGCTGGTCTCCCTGCCCCTTGGGTCACTCTGCCACCTGGGGTTCCCTTCTTCACCTGTGCATAGGAGAAGCAAATTGAGCTGGGTTCGAATCCCAGCTCAGCCAATTCCACGTGCCCCTAGGCCTCTAACTTCATGCCTCAGTTTCCCTATTTGTAAACTGGTCATAATATCTACTTTATAGACTTGCAGTGAGGACTAAGCGAGACTGTGGAGATAAGGAATGCAGGGTAGGGTAGTGGCTGGCACAGACTAAGTGCTCAGTAAACAAATGAAAACAAGTGGTGATGTTCCAGGTGTCCAAAGTCAGGGACTCCAGGTTTCCTCCTCCTCCTCTCTCCACCTCTGCATTTCTTTCCTGGACTCTATCCGCCACCCCCATCCACCCTGATAGCCCCAGGCTGGGCCCCAAATGCCAAGACTTTCCTTTCCCAGCCCATTTCCAGATCTTGGGCTCAGGCCTGGCCTGGGGAGGGGGGCGTTGTGAGTCCAGGCAGGGGGCCGGGCTAGGCCCTGGTCTCTGCAGGGGGAGGGGGCCAAAGGGAGGAAGTGAGAGACGCTGGTCACGTGGACTGCAAGCCTGGGAAACTCCTCAATGCAGCTGGGAAGCAAGGGAGGTGGGGATGGGCCCCAGCTCACAGGCCTAGGGACATGGAGGGTGGAGCCACGAATCCCGCCACAGCAGTCTCCCTCCTCCCCTGGTCCACCAGCCACAAAGGTCAGAAAACCAGAGCTCCCCACCGTCGGCCCAGGACAGGGCTAAATGTCCCTCTAGCCCACTCGCCAAGCTCCATAAGGGAAAGGCGTGTCTCCTCCCCCACCAACACCCCACCCCGAGTGTGGACCCCTGAAATGTCCCCAGCAGTTGGCAGCAGGGGGTAGGGAGGGCAGCTATGGGTCAGTAGTGAGACCTGGCCTGGCTAAGCCTGGAGCCAGGCTCCCAGGAGCAGAAGAGTACCAGGGCCAGCTGGCTGGAAGAGGAACAAGGCAATGGCAACTGTGTCCCCACCAGGGTTAAGGACAGTGATGTCTTTCAGAAGCAGGGCCCCAGGAGGCTGGGTGGAGGAGAGGCTAAGAGCAGACTCCAAGTCAGTCCAGAGTCTGGTGCTCTCTGCTGTGACCCCAGGCAAGTCATTTAACTTTCAGTGGCTACTTTTTCTTCTCCGTGGCTCTAACAGCACTCACCTCATTGGCGTGTGAGGGTTAGCAAGTTAACGGCTGGAAAGAGGACTCAGCACAGGGCCTGGCACGTAGGCATTAGGTCTCATCACTTCTCTTCTGGGATGTCGGTCACCCCATTATTCCCGCTTTACAGATGAGGAATCTGAGAAGTCAGGTTAGCTATGAAGTCAGCTGAGAAGTCAGGTGAGTCACCCTAGGAGTAAACCATGGAGCCTGGATTCAATGCCAGGCCCTGGGGCCCCAGGGCCCATACTCCATATGGGCCCAAGCACCCACCCCTGGCCACCCCAGCTCCCAGCTGCTTCCTGCTCTGGCCAACCCCCACACTCTGCCCTCCCACCATGCCCACTCCAGCCCCTCCGTCCTCTGTCAGAGCACCTGAGTATCGCTGGAGAACATTCCAGCCCTTGGGTGACTAGATTCACTTCAAATTCATGTCTACAAACTTCAATGGGCATGAAACACCGTCAGAAATTCTATTACAGTTTCCCAGTAAGGGGACTGCCTGGTGGTCCAGTGGTTAGGACTCCATGCTTCCATTACAGGTAGCCTAGGTTTGATCCCTGGTTGGGGAACAAAGATCCAACATGCTGTGCAATGAGGCCAAAAATTAAAAAAAAAAGAAATCCCTGGTAAATCCAATCTCCTGTTCCCAGAGAGGAGCATTTCATACCCTTGCCTTCCTTCCTAAATGTTTCAGTGGCCCCACCCTTATCCGCTATATGATTTTGGCAAGTTATCAAACCTTTCTCCGGGTCCCTCCCCTGTGGAGGAGGGGTAATAATGGTACCTCCCTCGTGATTCTTATAAGGGCTGTCTTAGCCTGGGTTCCCTGAAAACAGAGCCTGAGACAAAGGCTTACATGTAGGTTTATTTTGGAATATGATCCCAGGGAGCAGGAATGAGGGGAGGGAAGGATGGAAAGCTGATACAAGACCGCCTTGTGGAGGAGCTGATCACTGTGTTGGGCATCTGTGCGTCCAATCCCATGGGTCCATCTGTATGAAAACAGCTCAGCCGGAAAGAGGAAACACTTTTCCCCTGAGCTAGCCCCGCAGGGCATTCACTGCTCCCAGTTAGGCATGAACAAGTGTTCAAGTGGGCTCCCGAGGTGTCCAGCGCTGTGCAACATGGAAGTTACAAAGCAAGATGGGAGTGATTAACAGCTGGGGTCTGAAGCGAGACGCTGCCAGGATGTGTGTTTGCAGAGCTGCGTGCTTCGCAGAATCGATTAAGGTGCAGGTGAGTTGGAGAAGACTCTTGAAAATCCCTTGGACTGCAAGGAGATCCAACCAGCCCATCCTAAAGGAAATCAATCCTGAATATTCATATGAAGGACTGATACTGAAGCTGAAACTCCAATATTTTGGCCCCCTGATGCAAAGAGCTGACTCCTTGGAAAAGACCCTGATGCTGGGAAAGATTGAAGGCAGGAGGAGAAGGGGACGACAGAGGATGAGATGGTTGGATGGCATCACTGACTCAATGGACATGAGTTTGAGTAAACTCTGGGAATTGGCGATGAACAGGGAAGCCTGGCGTGTTGCAGTCCATGGGGTTGCAGAGAGTTGGACATGACTGAGTGACTGAATTGAACTGAAAGAATTCACAGAAGAGGTGTCCAACAAATGAGACAACACCTGTAGAAGTCTTTCTACAGTACTCGGCACATGTTAAGCACCTAAAGCATATTATTATTTTTATTGACATCATTATCATCTCCTGCTGAAGCCCAACCTGAAAAGCTAATATTAGTATTCTTTGCCTGCCACAGAAGGTACAGAAATTTCTGGAAAAGTCACTGTATGAAATAAAAACCCAGGAAACAGTGTTGTTTGGGAGAGGCAGTTGAGTTTCAACCACGACTGATCATAGCCTCTTGGAGCCAGGTATTGAGCCAGATACAGGAATACAGGGATGAACAAATCAGGAAGAGCAATGGGCAGAACTCCCTGGGCCAGGCCAAGGGATGCGGGACATGGCCCCTGGCAGAGGGAGGGGCATGAACACAGGACCCTAGGTGAATGCAAATGTCAGGCTTGGAATAAAGGGCTCATATTTCTCTGCTCAGCTAGTGGAACCAGATGCCACCATCCTCACCAAAAACCAATGCTTTCTTGTTTTCTTTAGCCAGGAACTTTCTGGCTAGAGAAACAAGGAATAACTCTTGCCCAGGCTTGAGTCCTTACTTGACAGGGTGTCCCCACGTCTGGAGGGGCATTTGGGACTCAGCGGAGCTTGTGGGCACAGTAGCGTGTGTAGCTCACTAAGGCAGCAGTAGGGCTCCGGGTCTAGAGTCAGTGAGTCCTGAGTTCAAATCCTGCTCCACCACTTACTGTCTGTGCTGAATGATCTCCATTTCTACCTCTTCCATTCATCCTCCCCCTCCATGCCTTACAGACTGCTTCACTCTGGCTTTCATGCCCTCTGTCTTCCTGCTGGGTCAGCCAAAGAGAGGCACAGGCAGGACCTGCGGGCAGGAGAGGAGAGTGGTTGGGCTATTTCTTCCTGGCCTCCTGCTCACCACACTATTCCTGCCCCTTACCTGCTCAGAGGGTGGCAGTGGATCCCTGCTAACAAGTTCCTGGCCTTCAGCATCCCTGGTGAGTCCCGTAACCATGTCTGCAGACCTGTAAATGGTCCCTTCTTAAAGTTGTCTTTGGCTAACCCCTTTGGAGGGGAATTCTCTTTTCTCCTGGGCCTTTAGCCTATATGCTACCCTTACCACATATACTCTACCTCCCTAAGCCAAAATCTTTCATCTGTAATGTAATATGTGCATACGAGTGTTCAGCTGTGTCTGACTCTTTGCAACCCCATGGACTATAGCCTGTCAGCCTCCGCTGTTCTTGGAATTCTCCAGGCAAGAATACTGGAGTGGTTTGCCATTTTCTACTCCAGGGGATGTTCTGGACCCAGGGATCGAACCCACGTCTCTTGCATATCCTACATTGGCAGGCAGATTCTTACCGCTGAGCCTCCTGGGAAGCCCCTTCATCTGTAAAAGGAAGTAATAACCACTGCTGTAGGTTGGGAGAGTCCAGTGAGGCAATGTACATGTGATGTGTGCCTGACACATGTGTGGCGCCTGGTACACAAAAGAAACCAACTTAAGTTACTTTCTGTTCCTCCCCTCCTTCGGATTGTATGACAAGAGCAGCAGGCTGGTTTTCCTCTGGATTTGGTGGCTGGAAGCAAAAGGTTGCTGTAAGGAGTGAGGGAGATAGGGAGAAGCAAAATTGTTAAATTTTGTACTTAATGCCTTTCAAGTCCGGGGCTTCCCTGGTGGCTCAGTGGTAAAGAATCCACCTGCTAATGCAGGAGACTCGGGTTTGATCCCTGGCTCGGAAAGATCCCCTGGAGAAGGGAAATGGCAACCCACTCCAGTGTTCTTGCCTGGGAAATCCCATGGACAGAGGAGCCTGGCGGGCTACAGTCTAGGGAGTCCCAAAAGAGTTGGATACAGCTTATTGACTAAAAGACAGCA